ATACATTAATGAATTATAAATGAATTGTGAACGACTGATGAGGCATTATTGTTTTTGAATGTATATATTATTTAGAAATCCTGTACCCGTCCATCAAAATATAAATTGAATACATTTAGAGATTAAGCATATTAATTTATTATGCAAAAAATATAAACGCGTATAATTATGCATCAGTTATAACATGAGGACTGAATCCTCCATTATTTGAATTTCAATGTACACGACAGCCCTTTTGTAAATCCACTGCTGGATGAGGGCCTCCCCACACCGTGGAAGTCGTGGGGACAACTTACCCATACTTCACCACGCTGGTCAGTTCTAGTTGGTTAAGGCGAGGCGTGGGAGCACAGTACATACAGCACCAAGGCTGTTGCTGCACTGTCCTCAGTGGCCTATAGCACCTGTGATACATGGTGGTCACCCATCCGAGCACTATGCAGGCTTAGCTACCAGGTTAAGGGGCATTCAGAGTATGTACTGAATGTTGAACTTCTTTCGCACCGTACGTAACCAACCGTGCTCAACAGAGGATTTATTTGGTTACAAGTGAGTAATTACTTAAATAATACATTAAGCATTATGTAACAGTTTTAACTCATTATTAATGTTTTATTTGAAACTAAATGACGATGAATTACGACAAATTACTATTGCAGCACTGGCCAACAGGACATGAATGAAACACTACAGTATACACTCCAGACGTGTACGACAATGAATGAATACTAATGCATTCATTACTACGAACGATAACCATATACATCTTGAAGTCACAAAAATTACTAAACATAGCCCCAGAAATGCTTAACGTCAGTGGCGAATGGCGACTGGTGTGGGTCAGTGTCACCTTTGCCTCACCTCCGCCCCATTAAATCAGTCATGACTGAATCAGTCATTCGCCACTGAATCAGTCATTCGCCACTGACGTTCACGAAACCACACAGCGGCCTGTGCCAGGCTAGGTGCACTTTGGGGCCACGAGAAGCGGCGAGGGTTAACGAACCAGACCCACGCGTCTGGGGTGAACCGCCTGAATTAACCGGCAGCTGTACCTTGAATTTCTTTCGCACCGTACGTAGCCAACAGTGCCAATCGGAGGTGCTGCATGACAACCGTGCTTCCTTGCCCCCCAACGTGTTGCGTGTTGTCACCTCGCCGTTTTACACACCCGGCGTTCCGCCCGCTGTTGTGAGCGTCGGTCTCTCAACACCAAAGATCCCCCGTATAGCCTTAACAGACTCGAGGGGCCAAGTGCTGTTAGCGAGCACCCATAATTTGTTTGTTGCGGTTGCACCCGACTTAAGAGCCGCATGGCTCACAGGGCTATACCTAATCAATGAAACTTGATGAAGGCCGGCAAGGCACGCGAGGGGGTGGGTGACCAAAACGACACCCGACCGCCTTTGTCTTCCCAGCGGCGACGTTTACACACCCCACCAGGCATTCATGCGAGACCGAGTCGACCTCGGGGAGGCCCAGGAGGGGTTCAGAAAATCGTCTCTGGCGTTGGTGGCCGTGAGCGGGAATCTAACTCGGGTGACCGGGCTCGTAGCGCTGCGCACGAACCGCTACGCATCCCCCGCCGCCCCAACACACTCTCGCTGAATGATAACCACACCTGACCACCACACACACACACCATCAGCGTGGGTGGAGGTGATGAGGTGGGTGAGGTGATGAGGTGGGTGAGGTGATGAGGTGATGAGGTGGCGGCAGAGAGGAGGGCGGGGGTCAACACAATTGCAAGAACGCCGAGCGCCGCGGGACCGTGCCCACCCCCCCACCTTGTACTTGTCGAAGCCGGCGAGCTGCTCGGCCGTGATATACGCGTGCTCCGCAGCCATGTCGACGACGATGACGCCTACGACGCCTCCACCGCCTCCTCCTCCTCACGCGAGTAGCAGCAGCAGTGACCCACTCCTGCCGACACCGCGCGCCTCACTTCCGCTCGTCCCCCGCGCGTCACTTCCTGTTGGTCACGCCCGCGCGGGAACCCGGCGGGGCGGGGCGGGGCAGGAGCACCCCGGGGTCGCGCGAGGAATCGATTCCCCCTTCACGATTTGGCTACCGAAGTGAAGAGAATCGGTTCCTTAACGATTGCTACCGGTTTTTTTGTTGTTATTTTCGCTCGCGGTAATCGTTGCCGCGCTAACCGGTTTCTGTGCTTGTACATCGGTCGCGTATCCTGTATACGTGTTAGGTACACAAGACTGCCCAACGCGTGCGTCCAATACCGCTGTGGACTAAAAAATAATCATAATAGGCGACGTTTCGGACAGTGACCCGAAATTTAAATCGCACAATATTTGTACGTACTAAATAGAACGGCTATTTCCTTAAACGTCGACTATTTTACACAATGTGCTCCCTTAACGGCCGATTTGACGAACGTGTTGAGTTTTTTGTTAATTTAAACTAAACCCCACCCCCTCGTCATTCAAACCCCGCCCCTTTCTCACACCCCCCCACTCATACCCCGCCCCTCCTCACCCCTCCCCCACTCACACCCCGCCCCTTTCTCACCTCCCCCCCACTCACACCCCGCCCCCTCAACCCCCACTCACACCCCGCCCCCTCAACCCCCACTCAACCCCGCCCCTTTCTCACCCCCCCCACTCACACCCCGCCCCCTCCTCAACCCCCACTCACACCCCGCCCCTTTCTCACCTCCCCCCCACTCACACCCCGCCCCTCCTTACCCCCCCCCCACTCACACCCCACCCTCTCAACCCCCACTCACACCCCGCCCCTTTCTCACCCCCCACTCACACCCCGCCCCTTTCTCACCCCCCCCACTCACACCCCGCCCCTTCTCACCCCTCCCCCCAACTCACCCCCTGCCTCCCCTCTTTTCTCCCCGCCTCTATTACCGCACGAGTCTTGCCAAATCAAAGGATGTTTTACCTCGAGATGTATTTTTTTTGTAATGCAATAAACATTTGCCTACGATTTAAGACTATTACGGTGACAGTGTTGTTTTAATAAGATTACATTTAGCACACGAGGTTTGAGTTGTGTAACTGTTCTTTTCTGGGTACAGCTGAATTCGGGAATATTAACTACAGGACTGTTTTTTTTAATAAAAAAAATATATTTGGTTATCCTGCCTTGGTGTTTTCTCACGTGGCAGCACACCAGAGGGGAGGATTCCATCGCAAGTGGGATCGATATGGGTTATCGATCCCACTTGCTGTGCTGCCCTCTCATGGACACCTCGCCCCTGCAGCGATTTGAGGTTTCACGAACTTTGCCCTCCAACGTGCAGGGTGAGAGCCATGCCGCCACAGCCAAACATAGCATTTGTCCCTTTAACTTCGAACCGGTGCTAATGTTAAAGTTGGAGATTAAAACACGTCACGTGTGTTTTGCTTAACAGGTTTGTTTTATCTCAAAATCCGAGGAAACGTAAAAAGACCTCAGCTGACGTGTCGCACGTGGAAACCACGCATCACCAGCCATAATCCACTGCTGAATGAAGACCTCTCGCTGAATGACAACCACACCTGACCACCACCACCACCACACACACCATCAGCGTGGGTGGGGTGATGAGGTGGGCGAGCGGATGCGGCGTCTCTCACCATCCCCCTGCGATGCAAGAATCCATCCAGCACTCCCAACTTTAACATAGACTTGACACGACTTGAGGATTTATTGAATACATTCTAATTCGTGTTGCTACTCGACTGGATTGGCACGTTCCCTTGGTGGCTCGTCATTCCCCAGTCGCATTAACTCGTCAGGGTATTAATAAACTGCATTTCCCAACCGTGCACATCAATACTTTTAGGAGTCTTTGTGCTCTGGGCGTTGTAATGATACACAGTAAAGGATCATCCATTTAGTACGTACGCAGGTGGGGAGGGGGGTGTAAAAAGTTCGCGTGCGTACAGGGAGGTGGGGGGGGGGGGTAGGAGTCAAGTTGACAGATTTTTGTGTACCTGCTAAATAGATGGCCCCCTAATAGTCTGTGAATGGGCATCTACAGCGCGAAAGAAGTTCAACATATATACATCACCTACAAAAAACACAGTAACAGCACTTGAGTTTGAACTTAAACAGTTTGTACAAAACCCTATGTTTAGATGTAAGTTGGTGGTAAACAAAAAATATCCACTACATACATTGCAGTACAAACACGTATGTGGGCTTTTGCCACACGTAAAATGTCAGGATATATTCCCAACACATGTTTTTGCTTGGGTGGCAGGGAGAGGCACCAACATGCACTCTGACCACAGGCAGTAGAGTAATAATGCACAGCACGTTTTCACGTTATAGGCATTTAAGCCCAGAGGGGCACATGTGATCCAACAAGTTGCTGTACAGTGTACAACTGAAATATTCAATTAGAACTTGTAGTTGATATGTCAGCATGTCTTGCCTTTTGTACCGAGTATCTGTAGACAATTTGGATGGTCTACACTACGGGATAGCATATGAATGTTATGGTCAATTGACACTTGTGAAAGCTAAACGCTGGGTAACTGCAATTAGAATATGACACCGACGTTGCAGATTCCCATTTATATTTTCAAAGAACATTGTAAAAGTGTTTTAGGACCATTCCACAATATCCTAATGAAGGCAGCTGGCCATCTCGGTATTTTATTAAGAGCATGTTACAAAATAAAGTTTAGTTTTATTTTACTATATTCCTTTAGGTACCACAATCGGCATAACCTCTTAAGACATGCTACATAAATTTCAGTAGTTTCTCAACAAGCTTGTATGTAATGGATTTAACTGGAGACAAAAAACTCCATTACCTAGCTCAGCGATTTCAGTGCCTTCTGATACGGAGTTCTGCATTTTATGTCAACACGATTTTAACGATGGGCAATACCTCGCAGTTTAAAATTGTGCACAATGGTTGGGTTTCTAAGTAGTGTACAGTAATTTGGATATCAGTAATCAAATTGAGCAATGTCCAAAAAGAATGTAATCAAAGTGCAATGCCTAAAGTACACTCCTAAAGCATAATTTCCACATACAGCCTTTTTTTAGCAGCACACTTTATTCAAAATTAAATACAGGCGCGGCCATCGAATTTGTACATGCAAACAAAGCCTGATGAAGCATCCGAGGAGCTTTATTGTTGTAATAAAGACAGCACGTAAATAACACATACACAGCCAGCGAGAGAAAAAAATTCAAGCAAGCTTGGGAGGAAATATTAACATCTAAGAAACTATTTACAAACTTTAAAGTAATTTGAAATTGCAAAAATCACAAAACACTAAATCATGTTTGGGAAACTGTCCTTACAAGTATTTGACAAGGTCAGTATTTAACCTCAAATATGCTGCAAAAGGGGATTGTTATGCATGACCGGCATACATTACTGTTATTATCCTAATTCCTAAATAGCTATTGTCATCCTTAATAGCTGTTTGTCACTCAGGTAAAGATGATGATTCAGGTGTTGTGCACCAAATGATTTCATTTCGTGCAAATACATTTGGATATTTCTTTGAGCTAAACAAATGTAATCTGGTGTTTGTATAGTAAGGCCCACTGCTTAATTATAAACATCAGCAAAACAGTGTTCAAAGATAGTGTAGATCTAATTGGTGATTTAGCATACAATCAGCATTTCCGTTAACATGTTGTTGAATTATTGTAATAAATAAAAACTAAAGAAAGCAACGCCAAAATAAAGTTTAAAATAATTTCCACTGTACATTAAATATATTAAAATATTTGCAAGCAGCTGGAGGATCAAGTGAATGGCAGGGGTTTAACTATTCCAGTTGCAAAATACTGGCCTGTGTCTGTAGCTCTGCCATTTGGCACTATGTAGGTTCATCATTCTTTTTGGGTTAAAACATAACACATCACAAGAAACCTATCAATTTAATGCATATGTGCCATGCCCAGAGATATCAATAGGCTAATCATTCTGCACCAATTGTCAAAGTGATTTACCAACATGTATGGAATTTTAAATTGAAAAGTACATGCGACATTTGTTTTTTTTTTACCAGGGATGTGTAAAGGATGGATACATTGACAATTTTAGTGTTTATGCAATACCTGCACATTTCTGTCCATTGACTCGTTATTTTAAAAGGCAAGCGGGCTAATGCTGAGTGCGTGATCCGTGAAAACGTTAACTGAGTGACATAATGTGGTAAGGAGATAATTGGAGCGTGCCAGGCTGTTGAGATGCGGGGGGGTGGGGGATTGGAGGTCTCTGATAGCGAGGGGTAGGGAGGTAGAGTGTGGGAGGAAGAGCAGGGAATAGAAGGTCGAGGTAGGGTACAGAAGTGTATGTAAAGAGGACGGGGCTGGGGGGGGGGCAGGTTGTTGAGGGGAATGGTTGGGGTTTGGGTAGGGTGCGGTCGCCTTAATACTCGTCCTGCTCATCGGGGCCTTGCTGGTCATCAAGAACCTCATCCTCAGGTGGGGCGAAGCCATCCTGCACAAACAAACGGCAGGTTCGTTAATTTCACTGTGTAAAATTCAACCGTGCAACAATGCCAAACAAAACCCCAAAGTGCAGTAACAATAAACAGAACATTATATTTAGAAACGGACTTAATTATTACATTTCAATCAACGATAACATTGCTTTTAAACAACGGTCTTACAATTACATCTGAAACACCACAAGCAGTTTTATTTCCCAGCCAAGCCCTGTTGCAGTACATGCACGGATGAATGGCTGGTAAAAGCTTTTCAATGTACTGTACTCTCAATGGTGAATAGAGTAGAATTCTTTCAGAGCACTCGGGGTAGTCAAAATGCAAGAATTTTAGTAAAAAAAAATTACAAAGCCTCATGCGTTGTAACATAGTTTGCTACCTTACATTAAGCTAAAGCACATCGCATGCATGAATGACGTTAAGTGGGCTTTGCGGGGGTATAAATAAGTGCTTGGGAATGTGCGTTAGGGAACCTTCTCAGTTTTACCTCTGTGGCATAGAGGACATCAAGGACTTTCTGCAAAACTGGGTCAGTGTCGTTCTCATGCTCTTGGCAGATGAGTTCAATGTCACGCAGCTTTCCAAAGTAGAAGTCCCTCTCCTTTTCCAACCCATCCACTGTTACCTTCAGCTCCAACAGCTGGAGAGTCGTGAAAAGACAAGGCAAGTAAACCCAATTCCACACACGTTCAGGTTTTCTATGATCAAATGCTACCACATTAAAACACGATATCACACATTGTGGAGATATTTTCTTTTTGCATGTGCTACGTGGAAAGCAAAATATGCAAGTGTTACATTTAATATATAATCAAATAAAAACCTACCATTGTCATGATAAGCACGACGGCCATTTACAAGAAACTGATGTGAACAAAGTAGTATGAACACAATCAGAAATAAATCACCAAAGCATATTACTACAGGGAAAGTTTGTAAAACATAAAACATTTTATATTTGTGTAATGAGCGACTTCCGTGACACGTTGTGCAGAGGGTACTTCTTCATTATTGCTCACACTGGGCACAACACAGGTCAACACTTATTCTTACTCACACCGAGTACAACACTTAGATATTAACGTCTCTACTGGCTACACACAGCCGATCACTCGGCGTGGTCCCAGCTCCCTCACTCGGCCACGCCGTTGGCTGGCGGCGTGACGATGGCGGCGATGGAAACCCCGCGGGAGACCTTCCACGTGGCCAGGCAACGGAGAGTGATGTCGGCTAGCAGCGACGCAGCCAGGACCCAAGACCCCACACATGAGCCCCGAGCCCTGGGTCCGCTCCCCCTTATATCCCCCCAGGCGTGGCTAGGCCTCGCCTCCGGCCACGCCCTCTCGTGGAACCTTCGAGCAGGTTCCCGGAGTATCTCGGCTAGCCCCACCTGTCACCTTTGCCCCAGATACAACTCCTTCTCTGATTGGTTGTTACTTAACCGAGCCCATACCCGTGATTCCCCTTCCAGGCCAGCAGGTGTCACCCTGTCATTACACTTGTTACAGAAAAACAACCAAGTGGTTTCTGTCAACACCTACATAGCTCACCAAAAGTTACCTATATCAGTGACACACACGGTCTCACTAAAAATAGCACGGCAATGTGCATGCACAACAGACTGATGATCAAAGCCATGAGTGCCTGAACAGAGCCGAGAGAAGCAACCGCAATAGCGAACCTGCAAAATAACTTGTCACATGAGGTGTGCAAAGTTCCGTCCTGGCAGTCTCAAACTAAATTATTGAGATCAGCACCGCACAACAGATACAGTGTAGTAAAAGCTGCATCTCAATCCACCCAAAGGAGACAGCACAACTTGCTCGAAATCACGCATGAAATCGATACGAAAGATCCCCTCCCCCCCTCCCTCTAATACAGCCCCACACTCCTTTCCTCCCTCATTCAGGTTACTGCTAACCTGCTGGTTCAGTTCATAGACCTGTGCTTCAGCATCCCCAGACCAGTTCTTTGCAATGTTCTTCCGGGCAGCTGGTGATGTCGTGGGGAGGCGGCCAGGCGGCGGCATGGGCTTCTGTGGCTGTGCCATCCGTTGAGGCACTGTCCAGCACAAACCACACGCATGTGCGCGCAAGGAACACTTTTTAGGAGAACACGTTTCAAAAAATGTAAAAAAAAAAATAATGCTTAGAACAAGCGTCAACGTAAAATTAACCCAAGTGGATCCACTATTTTTGGTTTTTCTATACATACATACATACACACATATGAATCATACTGATATGGTTGGTTCCATCTTGCTCAGACGTATCGATTTTGAATTAATAAGAGCACCAGTCGGGGTTATTCTGCACGAACAAGAAGACACCGTGCGCCACACGTGTTGAAGGAAAAAAAAAACAAGAAGTGGTTATGACAGTGCACACGGACATCACCAAGAGCATTGCCGAGCACATTTGTTAAAGGCCGTCACAACAGTAAGAACAGCAACGAAGCTAGGCAAGTTGTGCATACTTGAAGCCAGAAGGGAAATAAAAGCCGCGCATCGCGCCCCCTTTTCTTGTAAGCGACATGATTTTACCATTAAGGAGTCAAGTGGCTTTTGGAGATCGATGAGCTGAGGATAAAACACACATTAATGGTCTTTTTGTCTTGAAAATATAAAAAACAAGAGATGCTCCCACTGGTTAGCAAGCATGAAAAACGCACTTCAAACAAACAGATTTGCACTCTTTAAATAAAATCATATAATACACCAAAGACCAACTGAACATGTTTTTGGTTAAAGCGTTCCTTCTCAAACAGGCCAAGCCTACAGCAGAATGGAAGCTATCGCCGTGCTTACCAGCCGTGATGATCCTTTTCTGTTTGGTGAAAGATTGATGCTCGCCAGGGTTGGGAGGAGGTCCTGCCTCCTGTCCCTGCCTAGCCAAAATGGGATCGTATTCTTTCCCATCGTAATTTGCATCAAAGAACTTCTTGAACCACTGCACAAATTCAAAGTTGTCCTGGAATTTTCCCTTCACCAGCCTGTCCACTGCAATGATCTGCAAGATGGAAAATGGGACATGTCATAAATTGGATCTATAACAATGTACGCATGTTAGAATGTAATTTGGGACTAAATGTAAAATTATTATATCGAGTTTGGAAATATTTATTTAACAAACGACTTCCATGACAACAAAAAAACTAATCAAATATGCCATGATAGAATTAACCACAGGATAAGATAAGTGAACACCCTTTTACCATCGCAGTATGCGGTCAAAAATCTTAAGACACGTAATGTACCAGGTTCAGCAGAGAAGTTTTGCTTTTACAGTACATGTAATGGTCACAAAGGTGGAATCAATGATAAGAACAAAAACATCCTCAAGAATGCTGCGCTTTACATCACAGTCTGAGCGTTTAAACTCCAAATGCAAATGCTCTTAAGACTGAAAATTCATAATTATAATTTCCACTGAGATAAAAAATATAAATATATTATTTATAGCACTTTAGCAATCCCCTGCTGGACACAGATCATCATGAGCTGTGTCAGTCATGGGGGTTCCTTGGCTATAGTCCGCAGTGCTGGTCAGTGCAGGGGTTGTTGTGGGTGTGGAGGGCCAGGAACGGTTCACATTATTCACCATTCATGTTAGCCATGATTAATAGTGCAGAGTGCGCTAACCACTGCTCCTCTGAAAGATTACTGTTCGGATAAACCTTAATAATAACGTGATACTACATAGTCTGTTCGTACTTCTTACCTTGTCAACACTCATCTTTTTGAACGATGCTTGTAAAACTTTAAAATTATGGATGTACTCGTGTTCAAGTTTGGCTTGGAATTTAACTTTTTTCAAAATAATGCATCCTGGGAACAGCATGTCCATAAACTGGCAATATGCAACTCCTGCAAAATGAAAAGGCTCACATATGATGACATCAACAGCTGTAACACTCAATAATAAAAAAACGTCCTTCACTCGCACACAAATAGCAAGTTACACACCATGTCAGATTTCCCCATATTTCCAACGTGTACCTTAGTAGGACCACAACTGAATTTCACTGAACATGACGACACTAAGCTTTCACAAACTTTACTGGAATAAAAATGGCACACACGGATACTTTGTTGCTGACAATTGATGCAAACAAAAAAACATTCCGACAAGCAGCTCAACCTCTACTCGGCGCTCAGCCAAAAGGTATGTTCTGAACACTGGCACTGTGGAAAATGTTAACAATGGATTAATTAATAATTCACAATAAACCAATTATAGTTGACCAGCAAAGACAGTTGGACAGCAGAACTTCAGCACTAGTTTACTCGAACACGTGCCCTGCTCACCTGAACAGAGCTGTTCCACCTTGGCGTAAGGAAGGGCCAAAGAGTCATTGATCCATGCCAGCATGTCATGGCGGCTCAGGTTATCGCTGGTCACAGACGTTGAGTACACATTTACTGCCATTTTTCACCTCTTCATGAATGAAAAAAAAATGTGTAAGGGAGCGAAGGAGGAAAAAAAAACGGCCTCAAGCTTTAATTAACATAACAAAGCAAAATAACACTTTCACTTCTGATGTTCTGTACATGGTTACCACATACCTGTTATCGGATTTAGCGCTGTAAAGAATGACAACCAGCTAAAAAGTTTCACACGCGCATTTGCTTACAACCAGATTTTCCGCAACCATTTTTTGGATGGCTCCCAGAAGCCCTCCATTATATTGACTTTAATCCTCCAAAAATCTCCCGGCTGCATTTACAGCAGACGGTTCCAAAAAAATAACCAATGGCACTGCCACCCAACGTCCATGGAATTTTTTATTAACTTTTATTTTTAAGCATAGAAGGCTTTTATATAACAGTTTACGTGACGATCAAGTCATTATAATATATCTGCTGAACACTTAATATAAACAGTTAGGTCTGCTTGCTTACATGTAAAATTTGGGGGTGGCGGGAAGGTTACACATTTGCAGTGTCAATAATCTTCCCAAACCATAACATCATTAATCTATGATTTAAAGCTTTCGTGACTGCAGTAATTCATATTCTTAGTTTTTTCGGTAAAGTCACGTTGAAGAGAAACAACAAAATAACAAAATATATATAAAACAATAAAAATTCTCACGACGTTATGGTCGAAACGTCGTGAGAATTTTTATTGTTTTATATATATTTTGTTATTTTGTTGTTTCTCTTCAACGTGACTTTACCGAAAAAACTAAGAATATCATTAATCTAGATAAAATTTATTTGAAATAAAACATTGTCAAATTGTGAAGTGGTTTAATAAGTTCAAGTAACCCATGAGTACAGCACAATATAATGTGGAAATTCACACAAAAGCGAAAATATGTAATCTTACTTGTACAACTCTGACATGAGTGAATTAAGCGAGCTTCCCTGCATGATACATGTCCTAGTGCTTGCATATCCACAATAAACTGTCAGGTTCAGTGGATTTTCTGTAAATGCAGCAGCTTTTACAATCAACATCAAATATGGATTATAAAAAAAATTGCAATATATTTGCTGAACGTAGGATTGATTTGCAATAAAAACTGCTGAATGTAAGACTCCAAACACCCTGTATCAGCCATGTTCATTATTTGACCATAATTCACCACGCTGGTCAGTGCGGGTTGAAGGCGGGGCACCCATGTCAGTCGTGGCTGGTAATCGAACTCAGGTCTCTGTATTCATGTGCCACTGCATCCCCCCACCATTACATGAACCAATAACATGCAGGGCAGCCAACATACTGTTAATAGTATTCTGTAAACAGTGGGTTTTTTTTGCCATTCAATCTGCGTGGGTCCATACCACAAACGGCCTAATTAACAGCTGCGTTACATCATTATTGCTATATTAACAGTTGGGGTGCGCTTCAACTAAACCGCAGTGCACAAAACCAACTAACAAAAAACGAGTCGAGACGAAATATACAACGTCGTGCGATATACTTCTAGAAGGAACTCGTGAACTCCAAACCGTGCACATTCCTGTGCGGTGCTGCGATGCTGCACATTATACAAGCCCATCATTGCAAGCGACAGCCAATAAAACTAGTGAGCCAGACGCGTTCGTCGTCAGTGTTTAACGATTCACCCTTACCCCTTCTCGCCCCAGTTACGAATCCGGGCAACGCATTCGTTGTGAGGAGCCGGCTGTAAGATGAGCGAGTACACGTCCCTATGGGTTTGGTACTGCAGTAAACACCGTTTACGACGTGCTGGCTGGCACGAAGAGTATTGAAACTCAGTCCTTCTCAGTCCAGGGCAGTTAAACCTCCACAATCCATCTTAAAGGAATGGATAAACCACCCAGTTCAACACCGGAAAAGTCTGCTTGTATATAAATCATCCCCGATCACACAGACCCTGCCCATTTTATGGTTAAACCATTTTCAAGCGCACCAAAAACTGCCAATTGACATCTAAACCACCCACCACATAAACCCCACCCATATCTAATTAAAACATTCTAAAGCGCACCAACCCTGCCTATTTCTAGTTAAACAATTCCGATTTTTTTTTTAAAAAAAACGTATTTCTGTTCAAACCATGTCAATCCCTGCTTACACACACATAACCACCAAAACCTACCCACGCATACTAAAATCCTAGAATCCTAACCCGCACCAACACTGCCCCCCTACCCCCCCCATACGTGGTTAAACCACTCTAACCCACCGCAAGGCCAGGTCAAAAAACCATGCCAACCGATACAAGTCCTGGCTACGTCAACCCCGCCCAACAACAGTCGCAACTCCCGACACGCAAACCCCCGGCGCCGATGCAAATCTCCCATCGCCACGAAAACCAAGATGATTACATCAGCCCAATACATCAGTAGCACCACTGTAGGTAGAGCGGAAAGACACCTTCCGCCGCTACGGTTAAAACCAAACCAGCAGCAGCAGCTCCCACTACATGGCCGGGTGAGAGCGACCCAACCGGGCCGTGATCCAGGCAAGAACGAGGAGTCCCGCACTCCGCTAGGCCAACGTTCGTTATTTCACCACAAAACGCCGCGTACGACAGGGCTGGCGACGCTCGCACGTTCTTCTCACCCGAGACAGCGGTCTAAGCGACACTATGACAAGGAGGAGTCGATGATTCCCGTCGAGGCCGTGCACGATTAAACGCGGAGCGCAGTGCGAGGCAGCGAGCACACTGAAGTCGTCCAGCCTCTGTCACTCAATGTCGCAGTCCGCACAGGCAGCGCGTCCCACGGCGCTCTCCTTGCGATTGGTCCCCACCGCTGCGCATGACCAACCTCGACAACCAATGGCATTGCGCGCACGGAAGCCGCTGAGCTTGTCCTCACTACGAAATCTGTGACGCGGGGTGCGGGGTGCGAGGGGCGGGGTGAAAGGGGAGGGGGCGGGGTGCGAGGGGGTGGGCGGGGCGCGATGGGCGGGGTTGAATGGGCAAGGGAGGTTGGGTTGGGGGTGCGTTGGGCCTCATGGCCTGGGTTGCCACCTGCCCAGGTTAATCCGGATAGTCTGAGATTTGGCACGTGTTTGGGTGGCAATAATACATTTGTGCCGTGGACTCGTGGCATTGTGTTGAACTTCATTGCGGTACACTGCGCGGGTTTGATAGACCGAAGCTGAGCAAGATTCAAGAGCTGAATGGCTCACAGGGCTATACCAAAATAAACTAAACTGAAAACTGAAACTGATGAAATATGTGCGAGTTTGGGCTCCGGAAAAGGTGTCAACCCTACTCAACCCTTGACTGCCATTTCCACATGCACAATGTATGCGTATTTAATGGCGTTAACATTCTCATGTTACATATGTGGGAATGGCATGAACAAAACTCTACAAATAAGACGATGCAATGGAGAGACAGCAGCCGTTCTTATGCCGTGCCATCCTCATGCTATATCATACCTTGGTTCAATTTAACGACGCCCATTTCACCGAGTTGACGGTATGAGTTGTGTTTAAGGTAACACAACTTGTAATTGGTGGGCCACGAGAAGGCTACCGTCTCCAAACCAAACCATGGACCACACAGCAAACCCGCTGTGGTCTGCGCTCCTTGAACTTGACACGAAACTCTCTCTCTCTCTGGTCACTGCTGAAGCCATCACGTCGTGGAGAGCGGCAGGCCTCGAGCTCCTGGGTCAATCTAGATTTGAGTCACTGCTGCCATACGCAGAAATAGAGTAGAATCCCTTGGTTCTTTCGGTAAAGTCACGTAGAAAGAAAATAAATTAAATAATAGAATATGACGTTTCGATTGCAACACAAGCAGTCGTCATCAGGTAGAACTAAATGTGTTGTCTCTCTCTGCTTGTGTGTCTGTCTGTGTGTCTCCGTGTCTATGTTTTGTCTCTCTCTGCAAATCGAAACGTCGTGATATTTTTATTATATTTTTTTTCTATCTACGTGGCTTTACCAAAAGACCCAAAAAATTTGAATTCCTGCAGTCACGATATCTTTCAGTCAACCTTTAACACCTCTTGTGTTTTTGTCAGAAAGGGTGCCACCTATTCTTGTTCCATAATTTTGATACTGGCATCAAGAGTATACACAACACATGAGATAGATATCTGAAACTATATATTAAAAACTAGTTTAAAACGATGTTTCTTTGCTTCTGATAGAACAAACGGCTAGAAATGGTAGCTTGGCGGTCAATCAATATCAGATCAGAGAAGAACGGTGGCCTGTTATTCGGTGTTGAGGGGTCCAACTGGCCCCAATATTTCCACAAAATGAGGGAAGCTGTTGCCAACATAAAAAACTCCAGACAGAACCATCCCGCACCTCCGATGAGCAGGAATTGGCTACGTACGGTGTGAAAAAAGTTCAAGATACGTACATACATCCGAGGTCGTGGCGGGTTTCTTTCCTCATTCCTGTTGCTCGATGTCCCCCTGTACCGTTCCCGTGCTGCTGTAATGTGCACTAATGAGGGTGGTATTGGCACATAAAATAAAGACGGATTGATTGACATCTCGAGCGAGAGATTTAATCGTGGCAATGGGAACGAAGCAAAAGCTTCAAAATCTGGAGGTCCATGGGCCATGTACGCATCGAAACGCATGACACGAGTGCACGAGCATTTAAAATGGTTTATTACATTATTAAGTGCGTATGAAAAAAAATGCAAAAAAAAACAAAAGCAGATAAGCAGCCACACTTGTGGATAAGTTAACACAAAAGAACGGTACATTTATTCAAGTCTGTAGCACATCGGGACACTTTGAAACTGCTCACTGTGAAACTTGCCCACATAAATATATGTATGCAGGTATGCATGTATTATGTATACATGTGTCATATCATGATGCAATGGTACCAAAGCGAGCACAACACAACCGAAACACCGAGGGAGCACTCAAAGAAACCTTCAGGGGAACGCAGATCACCACACGCACCACTACTCGGGATTTATTTATTTTTGTTTATCCTAATACGTACTGTAGATTACATCCAAGCAAGGGATTTTATGAGTAGGATGCAGTACAGTTTTATAGAGTGGGACGAGGAATGTTCATCAGGTTACGTGATATTCACAGGGAGCCCACGATTCGTAACTGAAAAGGAAACTATGGTGACACTGTCTTCAGAAAGGTTGAAATGACATTCGGCGAAAACTAAAACCCAAAGAGTTGTATCATTGTCTAGTTTGTTCATACAAACTGCTGCTTTTACAAACTAGAAATTATACTTTGCTAACTTTCAAGTTTACCTCCTTCACAATCACAGAATATTCATCAAAATTATATTATAAGTTGTGCATTGAAATAAAAATCATTAAAACTTGCTTACGAAAAACAACAACTCACCTTAATGAAAATGAGTTTGACACCTTTCATGGCGTCACCCATATATGTTGCGTGAAGAAATAAATGCATTTATTAATCGATATACTTTTAAAACAAATGTGGCGATTCATCATGTGGGCTCCCCATCATATGTTCTCAAACAATTAAATATCAACTTGTACTTTCAATGCACCAAGAAATGCAAACAAATGCGCCTCTTCCTATGTCAATATACCACTACAACACACTGCACTTGATTTATTCTGTAAAGCCTATCCGTGGGAGCATACACATGACATCCCTGTGCAAGTACACATGAGGCTACTTTCTAGGTATAAGCACCAGCATTTGCATGGTTCACAACCACACTAAAATAACAATACAGTTTCTTCTTTTTATATATATAGATATAAAATAAAAAATAAAATGCTTAAGGGAAAAAAGAAAAGAAAATTGTATTGTTAAATAAAAAGATTAAATAAAACACATTACAGCAATTTTTATTTTGTAGAAAAATTGTTTTAGCACCAAACGTTGGCTCTGCCCCTGGGTGTGGCATGGCTGAGTCTGTCCCATAAGTTTCCTGTTTAACAGTAAGAGGAACACATATTGCAGAGGAAGGTTGCAAAGCACCAAGATGTATAAAAAATCACGAGTTTGCTGGAAAACATGGTCACTGCTGTACCCGAACATATTGACCTCATTCAGTGAGCGACTCTTAAGCAGGTCTTTGCTGGCGTGCCAATGTTTGTCTCAGACTGTCACCTCCGACCTCACGGCCACTTGCGGAGACAAATTGTTCGCCGTTTGCCACAGACGAGTGCAGTTATTGAGTCTGTGTTTGCTGTTACATGCTCTGCTGTTTGCTTCTGTTGAGTAAACTCATGTTATGGTAGCCAGGATTGTCAGTTTTGCACCACATTGCAATACACAGTAAACGTGCTTCTTGCAATAACATAGACCACTGAACATAGACCTAGCACTCAGTAGCACCGTGTTTAGGACGCTATGTGTATACACTTGCCTACCGAAGGTATTTAGACTGTGACCGATATAGCTGTTGGGATGGTAGTCCAAACGCTTTTGGCAGGTCGGCATATACACACGTACGACAATTATGTGCCTACAGTGTTGCGTTTGGGGCTTCTGTTTTGCGTGCGTGCGTGCGAACGCGTGTGTTGTGCGTGTGTCGTGCACACAGGGCACTGCAATCACCGCCTAGAGTGACCACGTCGCCAAAAAACGTCGAACCGAGCTGCCACTTGAGAGCGATTCGTGCTTTTTTTTTGTTTTGACAAATGCCCAGAAGGCTTTGTGTATCGTACAAAAAAAAATATGGACAAAAACGTAAAGCACCATCTCCCCCCCCCCTGGTTTAAAACGACAACAAAAACAGACAGGAGTGTGAAACATCAGCCTCGTGTGGATGTTGACACCAAATAACAAAAAAGAAACCCCTCTGTTGTAATCATTACGTAATTGAATATTATTATTATTGTGACAGTTTATTTCTCTTTTTTCTGCGTTTTCACGCAAGCGGTCAGGATGACTAAAAACATTTTGCCACAGCCCGGAGTGGCATCTTATGGTGACCTCAGAGAGCAGCAGCCTGCGATGTTCTGTTCTGATATACTGTCCTCAGCTAGGCAGAGTTGAAGGCATAGGGAAGGCATCTTCAGTGGTGACATTTAGTACAGTATATAGTTATCGCGATCAAAACGACTTCACGCTCTCTCTCTCTCTCTCTTTGTTGTGCAACTGTCCGCAAATACTGAAAACAGCGTATTTATTGCATCTTTGTAGAAAAGATACCAATAACGTCCAGAAAATAAAACAGAATCGGGACGCTTTTATTCGTGCGCCTTGTGATTTCTTTTCTCTTAAATCGACATCACCACTCGTGTGAGGTGAGAAAAACAAAACCGGAGCGATATCATAGTTAATGTTTTCAATCATCCTTGTTGAGAGCACCTTTTCAATATATATGTACAGTAGATTTGAAGGTTGTAGAGATAAATCATCACAGAGGTATTTAATATTGTGCTAGGACTGGATTTAGAGAGACCCCTGATGCATTTTGCTCTAACTTCTGCCTGGCGAAGGTTCAACTTGGCCAATAATTGGGGTAAATGACACAGTGCAAAAGTATAATATCTGCATTAAAAAAAATCTTCATTGGTTGCAGTTATATTGTTACACTATAAAAAAAATTAATGAAACAAAAAGCCCAAGCCACCTTTTTGTGACTGGCAATAAATTACACGTTTATCATATTTTATAATATATTTACTATTAACTCTTCGTTCCGATTAAACGTATCCCTCCTTTTAACTGCTATAGCAACACAAAGAAAATATAGTCCCCCCAAAAAAAATGCTCACGGATGCCTATTTTTTGTACATGGAGAGTTACATGGCACACTGGGTAATTATACGAGATTTTCATCGGACAGGCGAGTAAGTTTATGTGATCCCAAATACTTTAGCGGATATTTAGATAATCTCACCCATTGACTTACCCGGTTGTGGTACGTTTTGATTGTTTGCATTATTTTTGCATTTTTTTGTTTGACCAAACTGCTTGGGTCCATTCAAATCCTTGCACGTGCAAAAGAAGGTTGCGGTGAGCGGCAGTATTCTGTTTGCATGCTACCAAGAAAGATACTCGCTCAAGATCGGTTTTACCTTCCTACAGCTAAAAAGTAGAATTCAAGTGTATTCAGGATATTTAAAAGATAATGCATTTTATAGGTAAGTAAAAGCTTATGTTTGTGAAGGTTACCCTCAGACTTCACGTGAATCCTATAAAACAATTTAAAAATGTGCCCACATCAATCAAGTTTGAAACAACTGCCATATAACTTTAGTTAGATTTTTTGCATAGAAGATAGTAACAATTTGCTATTTTTTACGTCTTGAAAAGCACTTCTGCATTCGTATTTATAAATATCAAAATAATCGCACAAAATCTGTTTTAGGTGATAAGTTAAAACAACGAAATTGTGTACATTTTAATTTGTGCAATACTTTCTAAATATGTTTCAGGACAATATCTGATTGTGCAATTTATGGAATTTTTTTTAGTAATTTATTAAAAATTCATTGATCTGCTCGTGGACGTTTGTGCGGATCGGGATTATATTTTTTACATTGATCATTGAAGAATAAACTGACTAAGAATAATATGAATTTAAGACCGGTAAATAATACCTGTAACTCAAACAAGGTATTGAGATATAGGGAAAAAAACTAGTTTTTTTTGTATCTACCGCCTTTCCTTTACCAACTAATATCCACAAATCTGTATTTTAGCTTGCGCCTTTCGCAAAAAAACACTAATCCGCGAGGAAATGTATCAACTAGTTTTTTTTGCGTCTCGTAGACGTAGTTTCCGCAGACACGTGAGCGAAACATTACGGCACATTGCCCGTTCCGCACGAGCTTTCTGGCATCGTTTCGAAGTTCATCGCCTCATTACTGGCCGTGCGTTGGAGATGCGGTAAAGTGACGCTCTATGAATGTCGGGTGGGGGGGGGGGGGGTTTGTTTTTTTCCTCTGGAGAGTGAAAAAAATCTCCCCCGTGGCAGTGTACAAAAAATAGACAACAAAAATCACAACACTGACAAAAAAAAACAACCCCAAAGGCTGATTGCCAATTTGGATGTTTTTCCCCCAGCATTTTCTCCCGCAAAAGCATCATAACCTCTCTAAATCCAGCCCCCCATATGTGGTGAGTGTATTATAACGTCCTCTGCATTTTGTACCTGAAATACTGTGTAAAACCACCTGAAAGTCAGCTGTGTCAATACAGGCTCAACTTCACCCACAGTAAGGCTCAGATGGTTTTGGAGTCCTCAACTTTGTATTAGTTTCACCTTTTTTTTACTTTTTCGTTTTTTTTCAACAACAGGCATTAAAGTGTGGAAAATTGCACTGCCGCTAGCCAATGAGAAGACATACGCGCGGTCTGTTCGCCCCGCAGCCAACAATGAGCCCAATGCTGCCTTAAATTGCCCAGGACAATCCCCTCGACCCGGTCGCATTCTTCAAGAAGAGCTTTTGCTTTGGCTGCTCAAGTGTGAAACTCACCACGCCCGAGTTTCGGAGGCAGGGGTCGTTGCCGGCAGAATCTGTGGACATGTAGGTGGTACAGCCCTTTGTATAGATGCACGATGAACTTCATTCGCACCGTGCGTAGCCAACGGTGCTAATTGGAGGTGCGGATTTTATTAATCTTTGTTAATCTACTGCTGGATAAGGGCCTCCCCTCGTCGTGTGAGTTGTGGAGGTTGCTCCGACTATACTTCACCGCGCTGTCCAGTGCCGGTTAGTGAAGGCAGGGAGCATAGAATTAAGAGTACAACAATTGATTTTTGCTGCATTGGGTTCATATGGACATAACGATGCCAAACACCAAAACTCTCTTGAAGCATGTTTAAAAACGACTGTGGATTAAAAATAAATAATTTTACCATTACGTTTTACGGTTGTGCCTATGTAAAATACAATTCGTGTATGTCCATAACTTTTGAAAAACCATGATTCTTAAGCCCACGTTCATGCAATTTGATTTAAATGTCACAATAGGTCCCGCAATAGGTCCCATGCCCACAAGCATTTCAAGAGTTAGGATTTGTTTACAATCTGAGATGAGACATGGCCTTTGTCCCGGTTGGCCAGAAACACCCCGACACTGCAGGTAAAGGCGACAGGTAGTTTACACAGAATGCCAATCAGGTTCCGCTTGTTTGAGCATGTCTCTGGACGTTGCTTTGCTTGCGCCATCGGTGCTTGCTCCAGTGTGGCCCGGCCGAGCGAGGACATTGTCTGCGGGTAGTTACTGAGGTGTCTGGAAGCTGCACAGGGAAATGTCTGGGTTTACTGGGGCAGACGAAGCGAACAGACCCTCGAGTAACGGACGCGAACAACACAACGCTGAATTACAAAGAAGAAGAAGAAGAAAAAAAAACCCTTTGAAATGAACACGTAAAGTAATAATACGTGACAACACTGCCGATGGCAAGAAGGGTTCGGACAGTGGTGTCAACAGCTGGTACTCGATAGAGGTACAGTGGATCTATGTTTAAACCTTACATTTCTTGCCAAATAAACCAACTTTCTTCATATTTTCATTATAAATTCATTCGACTTAAAATTGTATTCACACGATTAAATAAGCGGTTTAAAAAAATGATTAAAAAATAAAAAACGTTTGTTTTGTTTCTTAAAACAGACCTGTTATTTCATAGGAAGCAGTTACTCAGTTTAAATCCAGCAGAAAAAAATGTAAGATTACATAGGCTCCCCTGTACTGTAGAGACTTTGTATTAAATTCTTTCTAAGCTATTAAAATTACAACACATTTAAAAGAGGAAATGTGCTGCACCTTGAGAATCGGGATTCCTCGACGGGAACACCTCAGGACACCTGTGAAGAGGCCTAGCAGCAACTTCCTATGCAGTACTTGACAGCATAGGCCTGGTCGAAATTCATTCGGACCTTGGCCTAGCGATGAAAAACATCTTTACCGTGTAGCTCAAATAAGAACAATGTAAAACAATTTATATAACTGCGGCACCATTCACGCAGACTTGCACGCAATCCCAAGCAAAGGTCACCTAAGCTTTGCGTAGGCCGGCCTCATCATGATAGTACTGTACTTAGTAAAATTTTGTTTTGTTTTTTTTTTTCATCTTAAGTTTTGCCTCTTCACCTAAACGCTATACCACTGGCCATTACCGGTGCAGCGTGCGCGCCTCTTTTAGGCGTTTTCTTAGTGCAGGCTCGTGTGCTGCGTCTTTGCGCGATTGTGTTTGCGGCGGCCCCTGGCGCAGCGCGGCGGAGGCCTAAACGCAGGAGAAGTAGTCCTTCAGCGGGGAGAAGAGGTGGCGGATGACCGGCACACTCCACGAGCGGCCCAGCAGTCGCTGACGGGCGAGCCGGCTCATGTTCGAGACATCCGTATAGTGCACTGGAAAGCCGAATATCCTACAGGGCACACCCGGCAAGAGCAGACAAGGAGCATGAAACAATGTGGTATGCAGGAGGCCGTGGGTTCGATCCCAACCGTGACGATGCCTGTATATTTGGAGTTTGCGTGTTCTCCCCGTGGTCGCGTGGATTTTTCTCTGGGTCCTTCGGTTTTTCCCTCCACATTTAGAATCAACATAATGCGTTCAGAGTATTAGGCTGTTATATATATGTACATGATAAGCCACTTCATTGGGCTATTATTTGTGGCCAGGTTGCTTCTGAAAAAGAGCCATATAGCTTCGTGGGCCTTACCTGGTAAAATAAAAAATTTATATTAAAAAAGTTTCGTTTTAATGCGACACCACAGTGGAATCTGTATTTACGAGGCATTTACATGCGACTGCATCTCAAGATGCTGGACAAATTGGGGGAAAACATGCTTGTCTCGGCAGTTTTAAGAAGGGGGGGAGGGTGGATTTCAGTATTTTTGTTAGAGCAGAGAAAGAGTGCTCAAGTGCTACAGGCCAAAAATAAGTTTTAGATAATGTGTTGGTAAAAGTACAAATTAAGACCATCCATAGAGATGGGAATATTGGTTTTACACACTAGCCTGAGCTCATTATTCATAGAAAAATTACGTTTGGCCTAGTGTACTCAAATTCTAAGTCAAGCTCTGGACCTCACCTAAGGTCAACTAAACCAAACATGAGCAACAGGAGCTAAAGGTGACGCAGATGGAAAGAAACAACAATGGCTGTTTGTGGCGCAAACCAATAACCTCTTTTTGGACCCAGTCACGAAACAAAATATCTGAGCATGCCCAACCTCTTTGGTATTTTAGCGATTCAAACAGCTGTGGCTTTCGCTATCTTTCTCTTGACGTTAATGAGGTAATTCAAGAGCTGGATCCTCTTTACTAGCGTTTAGCTTTAATCGGCTTTGCAAAGTAAACTCACCGCTCCATTTCTGTGCTCCAGAGAACGTCCTCCTTTCCGTTCATCACGACGGGCAGCAGCTGGTCCTTGCCCTGTTTGATGGAGTTGGACTTTGTGGTGATGGTCCGCACTTTGCTGAACTGCGCGGTGGAGAGAGCGGGTGTCACAGGATGGAGATGTCAGCACTTTGAAAACCCTTTGAAAATACCTAAAGCAAGTTTTGCTTCCCATATTATAAAGCAACGATTTGTCATATTAACGAGGAATAATTTTTTTGTGAAAGTTCTCTTTATGGGTCCACAAGTCATTTTGGGTACTCATTATGTAAAGGACATGTACCTGGATCTGCATACCATGCCAAAGGCAAGCAAGTTGCTTTAAGAGTTAACAGATTCAAAACAACAGAATTTGAGACGTAGTATCTTCCGACTGTCCAGGCAGTTTTAATGACCCATCAATTTTGTGCTATCATATTTTCAACGAAAAGCACCTGATTACCAGGACTGATAGAATGCACAGTACATGAAATTAACTTTCCCACTCCAATTGTGAGAGAAAGATGTTTTTTTTTTAATTGGGCAGCACCAATTACCTGGCTTGAAATTCATCATTTGAGAGGATAAGCCACTGAATGTGCTGGCAACCTTATCAAGCAAAGAGCACGGGTAATTATCAAGATTCCATGAAGACATTTGACCTTATGTTAGTGGATCTTGAGGCCAATTGGGCATTCAAAGGCACGTGATTAGTAAGAGCATGCAAACCCCTGATGCCACGATTCAAATGCACCCTGTGCCGTTATATTTTTAAGCACATTTAAAGTGCTCATCGACAGTGGGAATGAATATCACCGAAAGCAAAAATAAAAAAAAACGAGCGGATTTTCTTGTTCAGGTGGGGGAGGAAGATGAGGAGAAAGCGGGGCCTCTCCCAGCACAGTACCTTGGCAGTTCGCCCGTGCTCCAAGCAGTCCTGCAGCTCAGACAGGTCCGATCCCAGTGGCCTTTAAAACACACACAAGACAAAGACCCACCGTATAGCCTTAACAGACTGTTGGGGGCTAGTGCTGTTTGCGAGCACCTATGAAGACCGGCATAGCACACAAGGAGATAGGTGGCCAGCACCTCGCCTGGCCACCTTTGTCTCCCTAGTGGCGATGTTTACACACCGCACGAGGTATTCATTTGAGGCTGACTCGACCTAGGGGAGTCCCAGGACTGATTCAGATAATCGTCACTGGTGTTGAACGTCAGCGCGAATCGAACCCGGGTCAACGGGTTTGTAGCGCAGCGTGCTAACCACTGCACTACCACTCTCTACTGGAATGTAAGAAATTTTAAAACGCACACAACTGCACTATACTATACTACTTTTATTTCACCAGGTAAGGCCCACTGAACCATACAGCTTTTTTCAGAAGCGACCTGACCACCAATGATAGCTCAATTAAGTGACATCATGTGGAAATTTATAGCAGCCAAATACTCGAAGCACGCATTTCTTAACGTGGAGGGAAAAAACCGGAGGACCAGGAGAAAAATCCACGCCACCACAGGGAGAACATGCAAACTCCAAATAGACAGGCGTCAGGGTCAGAATAGATCCCACGACCTCCGGCATACCAGGCGAGGGAGTTAACATCTCGCCATCATGGCGCCCCCAACAACAAACACGCACGGCTTCAAGAAAACGCATTGACAGTTCTGACACGTTCATCGTGATCCTAAGTTATTTGGGGGATGCAGTGGTTGCCTTTTGTGATCTCGGTCGGCCGTGTTGAGCGGTGCTGCTTCAGTGCTGCTGCAGCTCCGACCCGGAGGTCTGGGTGATGCAACGCGGCTGCGTGTGCAATGCATCTTGTGGCCATTACTTCACCTACTGCGACTCGTGCACGTGCATAACACGTGTTATACACGTGTATAACACGTGTTATACACGTGTATAACACGGATAATAACGGTTGAATTATACCAGCCATTCCTGGAAAGCATCTTGCAGGAAAGCACCTTGTTGACACGGCAGCAGTTTGCCCCCACAATTATTTTCCAGATTTATTTAAATGACGACATCAATAATTTTGGCTGAAAATAACCACCTATAAGATCACGGCTAATATCAAGCTACGTTTGTCGAAACTTATTTTAAACCGCCGCACCATTTTGAGCGAATCGGTTATCATTTGAAAGCTTTACTAAATACATTTTACGCAGTCGAGATTGACATTTTTATTAAAATTACCGTTATCTTGATAATCGGGCTTATTGGCCCTGGAGCTGCTTATCAGCTCTACCAACAACCAAGTGCTATAGGAGCTAGGTAGAAAAAAATAATGCACTTGAAAGGCATACATTTTTATGTATATCTTTTGAAACTGTTCCATTGAAATTTTGACTTAAAACTGTCGTGACTGCAGGAATTCATATTCTTTGGTTCTTTCGGTACAGTCACGGTAGATGGAAAATGTTAAAATAAATAAAAGAAGGAATTAATTTAAAAAACCCAAAACCTCACACGACGCTCCTCTTCTCTCCGCCTGATGACGACCGCTTGTGTCGCGATCGAAGCGTCATGAGGTTTTTAGTTTTTTTAATGATTTTTTATTTTATTTTGTATTATTTTCATTTTGTTGTTTTCCATCTACGTGACTTTACCGAAAGAACCAAAGAATACTGTTAAATTTGTTTAAGCACTAATCTTTCGATGAAAACATCTTAATCTATGTGCTTCCATATTCTCGGATTGCTCAGCATGGTATGATGCAGTAGCAGAAATGAGGGAGTATAAAAACTCAACTCAATGTTATTGTTATTAGCCTCTCCAACCTACGTTGTTTCATTATTGCGCTGGACAATGTATGCTTGTGTCACAGCAACACAAATGTTATCGTTTTTATCGTAGAATTTCAATTCATCAAAATACATCAAATGAAACTCATTAATTCTCCGTGGAATAAAAAATGTTAGCTTGACCACTGAATCTCAATGGGCTGTCCACCAATCTCTTATAACCACGCTCATCTGCCAAGTCTATATTTATCTACACAGACAAGAGTCTCTCAGGCAAACTCATGCAGGGAGAGTACCCAGTACACACGCAATGTTGGGCCAACGTTGGCACGTGGCAGGGATCGTTGGCCCAACATTCCATGTTCACTGGGCGTCACAACACAACCGCTGACCTGTTCATGCCCGGCAGGTTCCCCCAAAAATAGCGAGCGCGGTGAGCTGCCGACACATCCTTGGCATCAATCATCACAGGGTTACACTGCAACGGGAAGAAAAAGGAGCAAGTGGACATTATTACGAAATGTTTATCATCATTAGTACCATTACGTTATTCCATATTGTTCCATTTGTATGCGAGTCTTAAGCTACTAAAGACAATTCCACTGACATTTAATAGTTATGCTGAAATTTGTCTGCTTCAGAGAGCAATGTTTGTTGTATGACTACAGTCAAAACGCAACATTTTTAATTCTCAAAACTGGAATGTATCCAATGTAGGCATAGACCTAAACTAAATATACTCATAATAATATAAATTTATAAAGCGCCCTTAAAATGGTTCTCAAGGTGCTAAATGGTTTTGTTGTGGTGAAGCCATTAGAGCATCAACTCACTCTGCTTTTAATATCTGGAATAATCACAGGTGGCAGCCTGGCTTCAAACCCAGGATTCCAGGGCATGTCGGCTCCGCGCTCTGACCTCTGAACCCGCAGACACCTACCACCCTCCCCCCACATTAACCATTCAATGTCCCCGTTCCGTACCTCCAGGAAACGCGAGATGTCACGCTTATCGTTGGAATAATCACAGGTGGCAGCCTGGCTTCAAACCCAGGATTCCAGGGCATGTCGGCTCCGCGCTCTGACCTCTGAACCCGCAGACACCTACCACCCTCCCCCCACATTAACCATTCAATGTCCCCGTTCCGTACCTCCAGGAAACGCGAGATGTCACGCTTATCGTTGACGCCCATGGCGGCCACGTTCTCAAAGAGCCAGAAGAAGGGACGGTCCTCCCCCTCCTTGGGCTTGGCCTCATGCAGGAGGCGGTAGAACTCGAAGAACAATCGCCCCGTGCCTTCTGCACGCGAGTGCACACACGCACAGGCACACACGCGACGCACACGCAACGCACACGCACATGCAACGCGAGCAAGCGCGTCCGCGTCAGCGCGCGCGCGCGCGCGGCCGGCTCGACGGGCAGCCCACCGAGAAGAGGAAAACCTAGCGACCTGGGATCTTGCGGAGGGCCCAACGCCCGGCCGCCTACCTGGCTTAACCTGCCCTAGCGGCCGCTGATGTCCATTGCTGGCGCGGACCGATACACGGCGCAGGTTCGGCTTCCTGTTGTTCATCAAAAAAATCCCTATCGCCGAACGTGCACGACATCCCGCTTGACACCGCTACTTAGCTATCCACTCACAATTACATTTTCCGCTATGCCGGTTCGAACTCCTGGCACGGCAGTTCAAACAAGGATGGAAGTTTTTTTTTTAATCCAACCCCCGCCCCCCCCCCCCCCCCCCCCCCCCCCCCATGCTTCTGTCCACCCAGCAGCAGCAGCAGCATAGCAGGACACGCCAGAGTTAATCGATCGGTGGGCAACGTGGATAAGCATGGAAGAGTAGGCCAATATAGCCTCTAGACAGGCTCTGTAGAGTTCCCTCTAGTGCAGATCTGCCACCAGCAGGAGGTTGAGTTAGTAATTGCATGGCTGAACGTGTATCTGTTACTTTTCCCTTTCAATCAGAAAGGGTTTGTATATAGACGAAGTTAATTAGTAGCAATGTGGCGATCAGGGATGGGACAGAGCGATGGGAACGTTTACAATACGTGCATCAGGTAATTCATGTCAGCATTGTATTTAATGGGCTCATGTGACCTCTGCTGCCACCAGGGGCCGCTACTTTTACAAGGGGACAATAAAATATTATTTAATTGCATCGTGGCTCTGAATCGTGAGAATTCAACGATTCACACTTGAGAGGAGATTCATCACAACCCTATGATATCACGAGCAAGGTAGGCAGTAAGATAAGCATTAATTGTAAACATTAAAATTGTTAACTTGTATTAAAAAATAAACTAGAATCCACCGCAACATGAAATATAAGCGTAAAACGCACATTATTAAATCTAGCATTGTTGAATGTAAGTTTGTAAAACAATTCCAATTCAGGATTTTCATGGCGCTGGCTTTTGGCGGTGCTGACTTCAGGAAGGTGCTGTGCACGTGCATTATTAAAGAGTTAGCGAGAGAGCGCTTGCCTGGCCTGCTCGCGCCTGCAACTCAACCCTGATGACGATACACCTCGGCACGAGGCCAGAAACCTCCCTGCCTGCCTCGCTGCTGACATCAACGTTCCCATGGCTCCCTTCTCAAGGGGAGGCCCAGTCTGCTGACCAAACTAATACACGGCGATAATAATATTATTAAACAATTAAATTAATCCTGTGCCTTTGTTAAAAAAAACACAAGCACACATTCTCTGTCACCTTACAATAAACACAGCTCCCCACCGTCAACGCTAATTTGATGCATGCTTTTACCAAACTTCCAAAAACATTCACTGACCGCTGCATTCACGCTTGAAAATGAACTAGATAATGAAATCGTGGGCACGCGTGCTAGCTACTAGCACTTGCGCTGGAGCGCCCACCATACAAACCCTTCCTGGCAGGGTTGACGATGGACAGGTCGTTGCACGGGCTGCCTCCGATCACCAGGTCAAATGGCCCCCACTCCAGGATCTGCGAGAGAAGAGAGCCCACCGGGCTCAGCCGTTTATGCCACCGGACCTTGCGAGCCGAGCGCCCCACCGCGGTGTCTGGGCGCGGCGACCGCCCCCCCCCGGGCCCGGCGGCCGCCCCCCCGGGCCCGGCGGCCGCCCCCCCAGGCCCGACGGCTGTGTCCAGGGGGTGGCAAGTAGCAGTAATGGTGGCGGTAGTGGCCGGCGGTGTGCCGGGCTTTGGTTAAGCCCGCATGGCGTGGGTCGGGGGGGGGGGGGGATTACAGAGTGTTTACGCAACGGATTTGTCAAGTCTGCAATCACTGCGAGTTGGCAAAGCTGGGCGATTTGAAATATGGTCACGGTGCATCGTGTGGGTGGTTTTAATTTAACACTGTACAAAAACAGCAGGCCTTTGTAATGACTGGAGTTTTTTTTCCTTCTTCGTAAGGCTAGTAACAAAAGATGATTGTTCTTATAAAATTTACAAAGATGGAAATCTTTCATTAGCATTTTGCCCTGGTATGGCACAGTAAGCATGCGTTATGTTATCAGCTAGCATTGTGGGATGGAGCTGGAGCGAATTCGTCGCCTGTAGATGGGATGTCAAAGAAAATGTCGCTTTACAAACAAGTGTAAGTCACCGTATTCTGGTGTCGTGCATAAACAACATAACGATAAGATACGGAAATTAACAAATAATACTTTCCAGTCCTTTCTCATATTACTGCTGGATGAAGGCCTCCCCATTCAATGTCGGCTATGGGTGTTTTTTTTTTTAATCATACTTCACCGCACTGGTCACTGCGGGTTTATGAAGGGGCCGGTTCAGATATCACTAAATCATTGATGGTAGTCATGGCCGGAAAATGAACCCAATGGCCTCAGCACCATGGTACCACTCCCCCCCCCCCGTTTTGTGGCTATCGAGCACGCAGGCAGCGCTAACTCCACCGCGGCCATAAGCCGAAGGGGCCCAGGCGCTGGGCTTTGAAAGGGGGGGGGGGGGGACGGGACAGAGACGAGCGCTTGCAGTTGTCTGGGGGCCCTGGCAGCGCCGGCCTCAGGCATGGACAGCGCAGGCGTGCGCAGAGGGCTTCGGTGCCACGTGGTGTTGGGACTCGGGAGGCGAGGGCAAGTGGGCAGCTGGGCGGCCGTTGGCTGTCGGGTGTGTGCACGTGAACTGCTCACGTGACACCAAGACGCCCGGTCCTACATCGCGAACGATCGTGCGCACGTGTGCATCGCACGCCGAGAGGTGAGCTGAGAGGGGACAGTCGTGAGGACACAGGCATTCCCCGGTTCACTGCTTGCTCAGGGCCCACGTCAAGCGTTCTAGGCCAATGACTCCCCGATGGAAATGGTTCTATTACAAAAATGAAATGGTGGCGCTTAGCTCACACGGGCACCCATGGTTTCTGTGTAACAGAGGCTTTATACCTTTTTGACACCCTCCTGTCTGGGGAAAGGAAAGATTATTATTTTGTTGGACTGCCGCGAAATCAGTCTCAGGATATAACATACGTTTTCACGATTTCACTGTTACCTCGATATCAGTTTTCCACAACCGTGTAATTATATTTTGCATTTTAAATTGATTTTGTTCATTGCCGTATTTCCATAAGAAATAAAGATGACTTAAAAGTTAATTAACTGCAGTTGACGCAACGTAACGCCCGTCTACTAATCACCGCAACTTTACAATAAGGCACGCGCGCCATCAGGAACAATAAAATATTCAATTAACTACTTCAATAGTCCTGGCTTACTTTAAGCTCCGAAGTGGGAAAACCATATGAAACTTGAATTCCCGCGTGAAAAATTTCACGAACAATTTCCCATCAGGAATCAAGCTCTTTCTAAAAAAAAAAACACTGCAAAACGAGCAACGACAACCGCAGTTTAGCGATCTTCAGAGAAACGGGCGACGTGCCGCTCGGGCTGCCCCAGGTCATGCACCGTGCCGTCGCATCGCCGTATCGCGGCGATCCGGCGACTCTGGCGGTGGCCGCAAGCAAGGCCCACTCACGTGTTTGCGCGTCAGGTTGCGAATGTCGCCCACGTAGGTAATCTTGCCCTCGTGCCGCACGGTGCCCACCACGATTGAGTCCTCGCAGATCTCGGACGCCACGTAGCGCTCCAGCTTGATACCCAGGTCCTTGAGGACCAGGAGACCTAGCGGGGGACACGTGTGTGATGGTACGGGCAGCAGCTGAGGCCTAAAGTAAAAAAATTAAGCTCTCAATTCTGCTATCGTGACCACGGGTTAGGAGGCCTTCATCCAGCATTGAATCGACAAAAGAGATATTAATTATTATTTGCGTGCTACCAGCGTCATGTCATGAGATGGCGTATCCATTGGGAACCGTCGCAGAGGAGTGCGTTACTCCACGTTAGAGAATGGGCCGTGGAAGATGATCTCACAGAGCTACAATTTCCCACGTGCCCCAATGCGGAGAAGTGTTTGGAGCTTGAACTTTTGTCAAATTAAGTGAATAACCAAATTTCATATCATGGTGGAGGGAAAGCAGGGGGTGGGTAGGGGTAGTTAAACAGTGAGTAGTTAAACAATGAGTAGTTAAAACGATGAAAAACTATTTTTCATTTTACCAAGTAAGGCCCACTGAGCTATAAAGCTATTTTTCAAAAGCGGCCTGGCCACAAATGATAGCTTAACGAAGTGGCTTACCATTACGTGGAATGTATAGCATCCAAATACTCGAAACGCACGTTAAATCTCAATGTGGATGGAAAAACCGGAGGACCCGGAGAAAAATCCACGCGACCACGGGAAGAGTGAACATGCAAACTCCAAATATACAGCAGGCGTCAGGATCGGGATCGAACCCAGGACCTCCTGTATACCAGGCGAGGTAGTTAACATCTCGCTACCATGGCGCCCTAGTTAAACACGGAAGTACATCCGTGGTACGGGTGTGTGCTCGCTCGTCCGTCCGTCCGTCCGTCCGTCCGTCCGCACGCTCGCTCAGCAGCAACGGTGAAATCACACAGAGGCTGAGGAATGAGCAAAGCTGTGGCCGGTTAATGAATTAGGAAAAAGGGGGAAATTAAAACCGTAATGTAAAGCAATTGATTACCATCAGAGGTATGCACAAACATATATATATATTAAATATAGCATGTTTAACAAATAAAGTGACGCTAAACTTTCCCGTGCACGGTATAATTTGGAGACAATGATTTCTAATTGCTTTGCATAGACACTCAGTATTTTATGGTTGTCAGACATATTTTGCAATAGATGCGGAAAATGTTTTATAGCTACTATTTTAATTATAATTGCCATTTATATGGCATTGAATACATCAGCTAATTACGCAGCTCATGCACACGTGCGAAGCAGATTTTTGCATTGCGAGGTCATAATATGTGGCAATGGCTTGGGGAGGCCTTCATCCACCAGTGGATTGATCATGGTTGATGATCGCGTCAAATAGTACTTCACTCATTGATTCCTCCCCTGATGTGAAGCAGACGGTTTGCTTTGTCTCATTTATACTGCGCCCAGCCACCCACGCGGCACGTCAACACACTTCCTTGCCACAGTCCCTTTTCCCAAGTTGCTCTCATCAATACAAGTATTCGCTCTTATCTATGGCAACTTTAAGAGCACTGTTTTTGTTGCTGGTCGCTTGGTATTATGGGCCTGTGGACCTCTGCGCGGCAAGCATCTGGAGACAATGCACAGGGCATAAAGACAAAGATCCCCCGTATAACCTTAACAGACTGTTGGGGCAAGTGCAGTTAGCGAGCATCTATAAAGGCTGGCACCGCACACAAGGGGGTGGGTGGCCAGCACCACGCCCAGCCGCCTTTGTCTCACCAGTGGTGATGTTTACACACCACACCAGGTACTCATTTGAGGCTGAGTCGACCCAGGGGAGGCCCAGAACCAGTTCAGATAATCGTCACTGGTGTTGGTCGTGTTTCGTAGCGCAGGGCAGGCATATGAACACAAACAACACACGCGTAGGAATAAAGCCAAAGCACCTGTAGCGATTCCGTCGAACAGGGAGAGGACGCGGATGGCCTTGCGCTGGGAGGTGAGGATTGGCGGGTAAATCTTTGGGATGGGCTGCAAAACCCAACAACAAGCGTACGGTGAGCATTCCATCCAGTCGCTCATGGGGCGAACAGCATGCACTGCATAAAGCTACCACGTTTGTGGCAGGCCCATCCAGGACACACGGGGAGCGTGGGAACGAATCCGTGAGCCGCACCCACTTCTACATGGCCACACCCACTCGGCCACTAGCCCCGCCCATGCAGTTGAGCGGCCTCCTCCTCGCTCAATCTGACGTTGGCTCCAGCTACTCCTCTGCCAATTGCGCCCGCTAGCCAGGTAACCCCGCCCCACTACTCAGGTAACCCCCGCCCACTACCCAGGTAGCCCCGCCCACTACTCAGGTAACACAACCCAGGAAACCCCGCCCACTACTCCGGCAGCCCCGCCCTTTGCCCACGTCATGAGGGCGTTAGATTTAAATACCGGGATAGCCTTTCCAAAACCACTGGCACCGGCCCTGGCAAGCCAGGATGTTTGGTGGCTCTTCGAAGCGCGCTGTGCACGGAGATTGACGAGCGGAATTCACGCGACATGTGCCACACGCGCGGACCATGCCCCTCTGTGACACGAGGTCTTTTAGCTGCCTCTCATTTTGCAATTTGGGTTAGGGTTGGAATGTCTATTCCAAAAAAAACCCAATATATATTTTTTGCAATTTACATTTAATAACAAAAATATATTTGGATACATATTGGTCATTTTACACAAGATCTATGCCAACATAGAGCGCACAAAATAAGATCGTTGTGAAATCATCACAATTTGAAATTGGTACGAAATAACAAAAAATCATGTAAAACGTCACACGTTAATGTCACATAAACACATATATTCAGGGGCATGGCGGTGCATTGATGAGTGCAGTGCGCTTCGAGCTCAAGTTCAATTCACAGCCATGGTGAGCAATATCTAAACTAGTCTGTGACCTCTGCTTTCACCAATCCGCACTGTCAATGTCGTGAATCATGATCTAACAACCCCCACGACAAACGAGGTATGGGGATGCCTTCATCCAGCAGTGGATTGACAAAGGGCTGTAAAGTGTAACAATTAGTTACTGAATGTGGCTCAGAAGAACACAAACAGAACTTATTGAGACAATGACGAAGGTGTATCTCATTTAATCTTTATTTGAAAAATTAAAATTGCATAACCAATATTTTTTACTTGAAACATTTCATCTGCGGGGTATTGATTCCATGGTGAGCGAATCATTGCGACTTATCGCGAGTGAAACGCATTCCTTCGGGACCGTGGTTGCCCACGTGGTCACGGGGTGGCAGAACGTGAGCACACCGTTAAGCATGCGTTGTACCCGCTGTCTGCATGCACACGCATCCCGGTAAAGCATAAACGTCGGGGCCGGAGTTTTTTCCAACAGTGTCAAACACATATTCTTGGTTCTCTCGGTAAAGTCACGTAGAAGGGAAACAATAAAAAAATAAAAAAATATAAAACAATAAAATTCTCACGACGTTTCGGCTGCAACACAAGCAATCATCATCAGGTTTGAAAACCAACTTTGGCACGTTCACTGGAATGTGGCCGAGTGTGTCGCAGCGGCAGAGCTCACAACCTCCAATCGGAAGGGGACGCTCAGTTTAACGCCGGGTCGGAGTGGGATGACTCTCAGCCCATCATCCCTGCACGTTCAATAAAAAAAATCGAGTACCGCTCTGCGCGCAACTGAACCGCGTTTGTCTCGTGAAAACGATCCTCCCCGCCGCCGACTCGGGGTTGTCGCTCCGCGCTCAATGAAAGCACGAGACCCATCGGCCTCGTTTTCGGGCTCCTACGGACACGCGTGATGCTACGCTAGGGCGTGCGCGTGCGCGAGTGTGCGTGAGAGCGCGTGCGCGATCGCGTGTGTTCACGTGCGTTTGCGCTGCCACTGACGTATTCCTGGCTGTGCGCGTTGGTAAAGAGGTTCTGCAGCTTGCTGGCCCAGTCGTCGCGGCGCCTGAGCATGCCATGCGCCCCCTTGGGCCGGCACATGAAGCAACTCCACGGCTCCTCGGCGATGGCCGACTTGGCCGCGCCCACGCTCACCAGCATCTCCACGCACTCGACACAGAAGCACCTGCGCCGTGCGACACCGCGCACACAAAGGCAAAGGTCCACCCCGATAGCCTTTAATAGACCGTTGGGGCAAGTGCTGTTAGCGAGTAGCACCCGTGAAGGCCGGTAACGCCACACAAGGGGGTGGTGTGGCCAGCACCGTGCCGGGCCACCTTTGTCTCCCTAGTAGCGATGTTTGCACACCACAAGCAGGTACTCACTCCAGCCACTAGAGGCCACTGTAGTCACTGCGATGTAAATACAAATGCCGATTGTCAAGTCAAATTATAACCATTGCACCCCTAATGCTCAATATTACCCCTGCGTGTTGAGCCAGTTTTGTGTTAGGGCAGTACTCACTCATTGGGCCAGAGAAGATTGAAAACGAATTTCTTGAGAACCGCTTTTTTGTGCTTAATTTGTTGTCCTTCCCCCACACCTCCAATTAGCACGGTTGGCTATGTACGTTGCGAAAGAAGTTCAACGTACATAGAAGGGGAGGCGGTGAGGGGGAGGGCGCAGGGGTATCAGTTTCTCACAAGCCTCATCTCCGAGGGCGCCTCAATGAGGGCAGCTTCCCCAAACGCCGGAACACGGCGGGCGGAAGCGACGCGGAAGCACGGCGGGTGCCATCGACGACCCCCACCTGCAACAGTTGCTGTTGCCACACATGAGCACCTCGCCGCCGCCGTAGCAGACGGAGCAGTAGGCTTGGTAGCCGTCGTCGTCGTATTGAAAGGCACACTCCATGAAGGTGCTCTGTGGAAAAAACGAAGGGAGAGAATGCGCGCGGGGGGTGGGGGGGCGATCACCCACCGGAGAAATGTTTGCGAACGACGTTTTTGCCTCGCCCTCTGCCCCCCCCGCCGTTGCCGGCCGCACTGGCGGTGCCGCGTACGGAGCGACGGGTTTGGGTGTCTCGCCGCAGCGGCGCGGTGGCGCCGTCTCCGAGTCTCCGAGTTGCTCGTTCAACACGCCCCGGATGGCTGCCCAAAGCAAGGGTCTCTCTAGGCAGCAGCTGGGGTCACGGCCCTGTTTGACCTCAACTCTGGTTCATTTATTTGCTTTTGCGTGGTGAAGAAAGACCATTGCCTAAAACGTCGTCAATAATGTCTTTTTGTTTTGTTTTAAAGACGATGTGGTATTGACGAACGTGTTGCGTTTTTTTGTTTAACCAAAATAATTGTACGCGAGCGTGGTACACCAGCAACATTGTCTACATACCGTACACGTAAAAGCAACACCGCTTTACAAATATCACAACAAATGTGTACGACACGCCAAACGCGCAATTGCGAGGCTACTGTCGGAAGCACCACGTCTTCAAGTGTATTTTTTGTCGAACCAGGTGAGATCTCGAGAGACCAGGACAGAGGCTTGTGCGCACGAGTGAGATACGCGAGGATCATCACAATGACAAAGTCAAAGCACGAAAGAAAAAAAGCACAGCGATGGAAGCAGCAAGAACAAATCCGGCGCGGTGATTGCGACGATGCCGCTCGGCTCGAAGCGCGCGCGGTCTCACCTTGCACGGCTGGCACATTCCGCCCTCAAACAGCGGATGGTGGGTGATCACGTCAAGGCTGCCGCACGCGATGCACACATCTGGCAACGACGCAGAGTCACAGTTACGGACGCCTAGCGCCGTGCCATCGCACATCGGCCTCCTTAAAGGGTACACGTCACAGCAGAGCTGAAAAATATCGCGCGCGGACGAGCGGCTTTGGCACCGGGGTCGCGACGAAGTGGTCGGCCGACGTGCTTTTCTCAAAACCGGGCGCGCGTGAAACCGTCGACAACTAATTCTCAAAACTTTCCGACCGCGGCTGTCACACGCCCGTTGCGCTGCAGTGGCAGAGAGGCACGGAGCTCCACTCTGCTCTTACCTTCGATGTTTCTGTTTTTCCGCCGGACTTCGTAAATGTGTTGGTCTGCAACGAGATGGGAGGGAGGGCGCGTTACCCAGGGCGGAACGAGCGGGCACGAGGCGGGAAGCCGCTGAGCTGTTCTACGCGGTGGGGCCTCGGCACCGATGGGGAAACTTCACCTGCTATAGTTGCGCCGATTCAGAACTCGCTGCTCACTTGCGTGCATGCCTGTGTCGGTGAGTGTGCACAGCATATGCATGCGTACAGTCGGTAGCGTCGTGGTTAGCGAGCTGCGCTACGAATCCCGGCGACCCGAGTTCGAGACCAACATCAGTGACAATTATCTGAACCGGTCGCAGGCATCTTCTGGGTCGACTCAGCCTCAAATTAGTACCTGGTGCGGTGTGTACACATCGTCACTGGGGAGATAAAGGCGCCCGGGCATGGTGCCGCCCATCTACCCCTCGTGTGCTGTTCCAGCCTTCATAGGTGTTCGCTAAAAACACTTGCCCAAACAGTCTGCTAAGGCTATAAAGGCGATCTTTGTACAGTTGTGTGTGAGCATTCAAATCGCACTAGGAACCCGGCAGCCTGAGTTCACTTCCCAGCCACGGCCAGCGTCAAAGTGTCATCCGCACCGGTTCTGGGCCTCCCATAGGTCGACGCGGCCGTAAACAAATTCCCGATGTGGCGACGCTGGCCACGCCAGCCCGTCGTGCACCACGCTCGTCCTTAACAACTCACCAACCCAGCGGCCGTGCACGGCTCCGCAGGGGATCTCCGTCCCCGCATATCATGCGTGCGTGTACGTGCATGCGTGCGCGTGATTTGTGCGCGTGCGGCAAAAACCGCCCACGCACCCCGCAGGCCGGCCAGCTTGATCTGCTTGGCTTTGATGGGCGGCGGTTTGGCCTTCTTGGGCAGCAGTGGGCGCTTGCGGTCCACGTACACGTAGGAGTCCACGAGCTTGCGCTTGAGCAGCGGGGGGCCCTCCATGGGCAGACGCATCGGGCAGTGGCTCTGCCGCCCTGGGGCAAAACGACAACACTCGCCCGGTTGGGGTTCACCGCCGTCTGGTGACGTGTGCTGCCCGTGGCCAATTACTTTTCCTACCAGTCCATACGATGACTCCGACCCACGTGTGTTCTTTAATCCACCCGTTCCTCTCTTTTGTCTCTCAGTGTTAATTCCAAGCACACGCATCTCCAAATGACCCGATGGCTCAACTCCAGAGCGGGTTGCTCCCAATCAGAAGGTTCTGAGTTCAAATCCTGGTTGGGGGTTGACCCAACCCCCATCATCCGTCCCAGGTCAATAAAAGAGCTACCACTTTGTGGGGAAGACAACAGTGGTTGTCATCTGGATAGGTTTGTGGAATTTGCACCACTGGTTCTGGGGGCTTTAAATAGAAGATGAGCACCCATGTCTCAAAAAATGTAATCAGCTCTCTATGCATGGGTGCTCATACTCCGCCGGGACATGATGGTCGTCGTGAAGTCTCCCGACTGCTGCTGCCTGCCCCCCCTGCCCCCCCCCCCACCCGACCCCCCTCCACCCCACCCCCCTTCCAGGCCTCTGCTCTGACCTTCGCGCGGCACCGTGCCCCATAAATCATTCACGGCGCCGGGAGAGACGGAAATAAAAATAGAGGCAAGATTAGCGCGTGAACACGCTTGAAGCTGACGTGGCTATTTCAATTTTTGTTTTCAAAATGAGAATGTATTTACCCGTCATTTATATATACATATATATGATATGCCCAGGCAAATGATAAACAGCTATTTTTAAGCTCCCTGGATATGGACGTCACATCGCGTACATGTACATAAATACATGTACATAAATACATGTGCATAAATACATGTGCATAAATACATGTGCATAAATACATGTACATAAATACATGTACATAAATACATGTACATAAATACATGTACATAAATGCATGTACATAAATGCATGTACATAAATGCATGTACATAAATGCATGTACATAAATGCATGTACATAAATACATGTACATAAATACATGTACATAAATACATGTACATAAATACATGCACATAAATACATGCACATAAATACACGCACATAAATACACGCACATAAATACACGTACATAAATACACGTACATAAATACACGTACATAAATACATGTACATAAATACATGTACATAAATACATGCACGCAAATACATGCACGTAAATACATGCGCGTAAATATATGCGCGTAAATACATGTGCGTAAATACATGTGCGTAAATACATGTGCATAAATACATGTACATAAATACATGTACGTAAATACATGCACATAAAGTACGTGTACGAGGACAAATGTTTTCCAATTCCGACGGAGCGGCCCGGCGCGGAGGCTCACCGACGCACGGCGTTGGCGACGGCTCCCCCGAGGGCGGCTCCAGGCCCTTGGCCCCCTTCGGGGGGAAGCCGCCCAGCGCCCACTCCATCAGCGGCTTGAGGCGCTCCTCCAACAGCGCCGCAAAGTCGCCCTCGTTGTGATCCATATCGCCCTCCGGCAGCTGCGGGAGCTGCTTGCCGGCCCGGCGGCTCGCGACCTGCCCCGGAGAGCGGGCGGGGGCGGTCAAAGCGGGGGCGGCCCGCGGCGCGTTTTGCCCGTACGTACCGTGTGCGCTGTGCACGTGCGTGCGTTTTCTGCCCTCCCCCCCCCCCCACCCACCCCCCCCCCCACCGCGCATGAAATGCCCATCGAATTCACTGCATGCTGTCGTCGCGACGCGTGGCTCCCGCACGCGTGACGAGCGTTCGCTCACCTGCAGCGCCTCGTAGATGGCCTTGCGGTAAATGAGCTGCTTGGCGTACGTTGGCTGGTGGAAGTTCTCTTCAAACTTACTGAAGAGGGAAAGTTTTTCCACAGGCACCTGTGGGCAAGCGAAGGGAGGGTGGGCACGCCCCGGTTACTTCTTCAATTGTTTCAAAGCAGACATCACCATAAGCAACAGTAATGGTGATCATCAGTCATCATCAGCACTTTGCCACCCGCTCTGCATGACACAATAATGCTCGTTGCACAATAGTGAATCTGATCATCTGAGAGTTGAATTCTCATACCTGTAATTTAGCCAAATTGAGTGCAGAAGCAACATTTTATGGGATGGGTTTTTTACTGACTCAATCAACTCGCTACACTTCAGAATGTCGTTTCATTACTGGTGGCTGCCTGGATTCGAAGCAAGGATCTCCGTGGTGCCAGCTCAGCGCTCTGACCTCTGAGTTTATCAAGCCGGACATTCGCTGTGGTCGGGCTGAGACCACCAACCCTCGTGAGGCCGTTTTGATCAACCACAGGCGGCAGGCTGGATTTGACCCGAGGATCCCGGATGTGCCAGCTCAGCGCTCTGACTTTCGAGCGAAGCGGCCTCTTCTACGCCGACTTATCGTATTGAGACCACCAACTCCGCGGGCATCACCGCCGCCGCCACGGCAGGCGCTCCCCTCACCAGTGAGAACTTGCCGTCGCCGTACCACTTGACCCAGCGCGTGCCCTCCGTGAAGTACCAGTAGTACTGCTCGGCCTCCTCCCAGGACACGACGCGGCCCGGCCACCACGAGAAGCCCCGGATCTTCCCCCACACGAGCTCTCCGATCCGGAACCCGTAGCCATCCTGCCGGAACAGCCTGCCGTGAGCAACGGTCGGGAAACGCGTGGAGGGGGAGGGCAGGGTAGAAATTGCCCTCCCCCCACTGCCCCGCCTCCTCCCATCCCTCTGTCCCTGCTTGGCAGACGTGTATAATATGATAACAACGCAGGTTTTGGCCTAGGGGACCCCCTGATGGCAGCTTGGCCCTGTGCGGCACTAGGTGAATACAGCACCAGGCTGCGAGTGGGCATGGGTCTGCCAGGAGTGGGTGAATGTTGCGATTGGGGAGGGAAAACGAAAGACTTTAGCCCCTCACTTTGAAAAACCAAAATTCCATTTAGACAGGGGAGCTGGTTAAAATTGCTCAAATTTAACAGCAAAAAAAGTCTCTATTATTATTAACACATATACTCGTACCATTATAATAAAATTAAATGTGCTTTAGCAACGTAACGTGCTGCTCTATATCTGTGTACAGTGTTAATCCACTGCTGGATGAAGACCGCCTTACACCGCGTCAGTCATGGGAGTTGTTTGACCAGACTTCACCACATTAGTCAGCAGTGTGGGTTGGAGAAGGCATGGTCGTCAAGGACCGGCTCAGATGTCACTCACCACTGATGTTAGCCGCGGCCGGGAACTGAACTCGGGTTACTGGGTTCGTAATGCAATGCCCTAGGCACACACCATCGCTTCCTCTCCGCGTGTGTGTGTTAGTACTATATCATGGGGAGCGGTAGTGTAGCGGTTAGCGCGCTGCGCTATGAACCTGGCGACCCGGGTTCGATTCCCGCTCACGGCCAACACCAGTGACGATTATCTGAACCGGTCCAGGGCCTCCCCTAGGTCGACTCAGCCTCAAATGAGTACCTGGTGCGGTGTGTAAACATTGCCCCTAGGGAGACAAAGGCGGTCGGGCGTGGTGCTGGCCACCCGCCCCCTCGTGTACCGTTCCGGCCTTCATAGGTGCTCGCTAACAGCACTTGCCCCTACAGTCTGCTAAGGCTATACGGGGGATCTTTATCTTTAATGGGGAGCAGTGGTGCAGCAGTTAACACGCTGCGCTACAAACCCGGTAATCATAATTCAATTCCCACTCAACGGCCAACGCCATTAACGATTATCTGAACCTCCTCTAGGTTGGCTCAGTCTCATATGAGTACCTAGCGCAACGTGCAAACATCGCCACTGGGGAGACGAAGGCGACCGGGCGTGGTGCTGGCCACTGCCCCCTCGTGTGCCATGCCGGCCTTCATAGGTTGCTCGCTAAAGGCACTTTCCCCAACAGTCTGTAAAAGGCTATACGGGGATCTTTGTCTTTGTACTTTATCAATACATAAACACGTCTTAATGAACGAGCGTGGAACGAGCTGCAAGGCCAGAAAATTAGACCGATTTCCTGGTTTGCGTTGCAAGGCAAGCGTGACGAGCAATATTTTAACCAGTTCATGCGGCCTGGATCTTAGTCTTATTCACACACACACACACTACACGGGCACTGTTCAGCTGAAATAATAAGAGCAAATATGACAATAATTATGATTTATAGCCCATTGTTAATCCACTGCTGGATGAAGGACTCCCCACTCTGTGCCAGTCATAGGGGCTGTTTGACCACACCGGTGAGTTAGGGCTAGTGAAGGAGTGGTGTCCAGGACCCGTTCAGATATCACTTTGGTCGGCTGATGTTTGTATGTTGAACTTCCTTTACACCGTACGTAGCCAACCATGCTAATTGTAGATGTAAGCTGCAGGCAGGGAATCGACAGACCGGGATGCCAGATTCGTAGCACAGTGTGCTAACCACAGTGGCATCACTCCTCCAATAATAATAATACAACTAATGTCCTCGATGAGTAGTGAGAAATCTTGAGACTCTATCAAGGGCAATTCAAGTTTCCTTCACCGGGATGTTTGGCCAATTGGATTAGAGAGCGTTCTGAACACCAGGGGCGTGTTGGAGGCCTAGGGGGGAGGGGGGACCGGGCAACGGCGTAGACTTCCCACCGCCGCGCGCGAACACGGCGGCCGTCTGTCCAACGTCAACGGCAGTCGAATAACGTCTCGCTGAGAAAGATAAACCCAGCGCATCATTTAACTGCGGTGTCCTCGTGTTGTTCGTAACATCGCTGAATGAAAGACGCCTGTCCAGGGGCGGAGACCGCAGGAGCGAGGCTCGTTACGAGATTACAGCGTCGTTAAGAGTGGCGAATGACAATTTTTTGACGTCAGGCATAATGAACCAGTGTTATACACTATCGTTATGCGACACTGGTCGTTCCATCGAGTTCTAGTTGGGTAAACTCTGCACCCCGCGTGTCTCCTGCTCCCCCGCTCCCCCCGGGGTGCACCGCCCAGAGGCTCACCGCGTTGTGCGTAACGTGCGGGTAATGCCATATCGCTGTAATCAACATATAAATGGAAACCCAACTTGACATCCATTTCATTAATTTGCAAGAGGGGAGATTGTGAATGACTTGGAGAGGGAAATCCGAAGCGTTGCAGACCCCTGAGCTGAGTGGGGTCAGAGTCTGTGCCACTGGGCTCCCTCAAACGGGCGGCCATTTAAGCGAGGTCATGGAACCGTGCTCGGCTCTGGGGAAGGATCCATTCCGCGCCGCATTTTTTGGCTCCCCCGTTCAATGCGCGAGCATTTCACATTTGCCTGCAATATATATCTGGACAAAACCGGACGGCAAGGACGTCGGGAAGGGAAAAAAACGAGAGGAAAACGAATTTCATTGCTGTTTGCCAGAAGCACCGGTGGAACGTTGTTTTTCCCGGCGGTAAAGCACGCCAGGCGGAGGCATTCTATTGGCAGAAAGCCCCTGAAACACCGACTCAGGTGGATGCCATCAAGAGCGCTGCCCAGATGTGGCTCGGGAGTCGTGATTGGATGCGGCACCGTAAGCGAGATGGCCAGCGAATGTTTCACCACGGGGCTTGCTCGGCAAGACACGGGGTCAGAAATCCGGCCGCGCGTCCCACCTTTTTAATAACGGCGAGGATTATTTCGAGTGGGTGCCGCTTAACGGCACATTAATGGTGACTTTCGGTTGACCTGATAATTATTTAGATTTTTTTTGGTTGTAACCGGTTCGACCAACAAGTCGCGACAAGCCCGCCGTACGGACGTGAGCATTTTTCTGCCGTTCATTGAAAGCCTCCAACAAGTGAGGCTTTCAGGCAGAGCGCCACGCTCGTGACGTTCGGATGCCGCCGAGTGAAGCACGTGACCGGTAAGCGTGGAGGAATGTGGTCTGAAAATCTATCAAATTAATAACTTAGCCTCCGGCTCAGTAATTTACCCCTGTGACGACGACTTAAACGCATATTTAGAAACATGTTTAGAAACACGCGTTTAGAGTATTTGGCTGCTATAAATGTTCACATGAAGAGCTGCTTTGTTGAACAATAATTTGTGGCTTCTGAAAAAGCGCTATATAGCTCAGTAGGCCGATACCTGGTTAAATAAAAATAGTTTAAAGCTTTAGTTTAATTGTCTTTTTTAAACAGTTAACGTTCCTGGAATAATTAAAGGCCCAGTTCCGCATCCACTTCCCTAAAGCTGCCACTGGCAATGGAGCTTGCTCAAATGCCGTACCTGTTATGTATGCATCTACGTTGAACTTCGTTTGCACCATATGTAGCCAAATATGCTCATCAGAGATGCGGGGGAAGGACAACAAACTAAACACAAAAAACAGCTCTAACAGGTGCATCACTTGTCCTCACCTGTGCTGACCTGTGCTCGTGTACGGAAGTTTTCACTTAGCATTCATACGGGAGATTTCTCACCCGTGCCTCTGCACAGAAGATCTCGCCAACGCGGGCCAGCGATGATCAGCGTTCACCCGTGGCTACGCGCGCGACTTCCCACCCAGCGTTCACACGGACGACGACGTCCCGCAGGTGACTTATCTCGCCCGGCGCTGGCACGGCTGACGTCTCACCTGGTACTCCTGCTGCAGCTCCTTGGCGGTGGCCGCCGCCGCCGCCGCCGCCGCCGCGGCGCCGGCCTGCTCGCCCGGCCCCACGTCGCCGCCCTCGTCGCGCTGCCCGGAGCCGCTCGAGTCTCCCGCCCCGGGCGCCGGAGAGGCCCCGCTCTGCGCCGCCTCCTTCTCAGGCTCCGCCGCCTCCGAGCGTTTCGGGGCCTCCAGCGCCGGCGGCTCCTTGCGCTCGGGCGGCGGCGGCGGCGGCGGCGGCAGAGGGGGAGGGGCCGGGGGAGGCGTCGGGGGCAGCGGCGGAGAGGGCAGAAGCACGGGCGAGGGCAGCAGAGGCTGGCGGGAGAGCACGGGGGGGCCCCCGTCGCCGTCCGACTTCCGCTTGCGCTGCTTCTGCGCCGACGAATAAATGGCCAGAGGGAGGGGAAAGTGCATGTGAGGTGTGTGCACGTGTACGCTCCACTGCTGGATTGAGGCCTCCCCATGCCCAGGAAGGTTTCAAAGCAAGCATGTTGTACGGCTTTAATTTTAACCGTTTCAAGTTCTTTGAGTAGTAATATAATTAAATAGCGGTGCCAACCAGTTCAAGTTAATCGAGTAATAATTGAGTAACAACAATTGTTTTATTTTCAAATAGCGGTGTAATTCATGCAATCTGTCTCTCAACACGCTGTAGAATGTGTAAAGTGCCCAGTTTATGCGTGGAGGAGCTGGGGAAAGGACAGACGAACGGGAAGGCAGCGAGAACCAGCAACATTAATTGCCCAAGTTCTATGATCCTATATAGGGATCTTTGGCCAACTGCACTCGTGAGCGTTCATACATGTGGGAGGAAACGGGAGAGAAACCCCACGAGTTATATAAGTAGTGGAGTAAGTGCAGCACACGTGATATGATACGCATTTAACGTCCAAATATAATTTCATCTCAAGACGCCGTACAAAACCCATCAAAGGGATAAAGGAGGCTCGCGGCTTTTCTTACGATTGAAGCACTGTGTTAGTACGAGTCACACGCAACGCTTGATGCACCATGTGGAAAGAACCGTTAATGATGTGGAGGGGACTAGAATAATCCCAAGTGCTCTTCAACAAATTTCCTGGGCTCTCAACAGAGGGCAGCGCAGAGTGAACTGGGACTCGGGGGTAACGCCACGGACACAGGGGATGCTTTGCTTTCCATCAGCTGAGGCCACCAGGGCCAATATAAAGGCACTTCATTTACATCGGCCCTGTATATTGAGGCGTTATCAACTAATTAATGAGCGTTTACACGTGGGAGGAAACAAGAACACCGGGAGGAAAAAAAACCCAAGAAACGTAATTTAGCAGTGCGGTAAAACCCATTGTTGTACCGTGCTTTCTATGTTCCCACATCTACACTCCTCGTCCCTTGCTAGACCGCCTCGCCCTCACTAACCCACACCGAGTCGGCATGGTGAGGCATGGGCAAACCACCACCCGCCTCACTCGACCCCCCCCCCCCCGCCTTACGATCCATGGGGGAGTCCAGCAGCCAGCAAAGGATTGATGGGAAGCGGCTGCAGATCTACGTTTTTATTTTTTTTGTTTTAGCAGGTAAGGCTATGTGGCTCTTTTTCATAAGCGACCTGGCCACAAACGATGGCTCAACGAAGTGGATTATCACGTGGCAATTTATAGCAGCCAAAAACTCGAAACGCGTGTTTCTAAATGTGGAGGGGAAAACCGGAGGACCCAGAGGAAAATCCACGCAAACCACAGGGAGAATATACAAACTCAAAATATACAGGCGTCAGGGTCGGGATTTAACGCAAGGCCTCCTGCATACCAGGCGAAGTTGTTAACATCTCGCAGGACAGCCGCGGCACAAACAGCACGGAGCCTCGTCTCTGGCCGTCCTTGCCTGCCTGACCCTGCGGCTTTAATTTTGTATTTTATCGGCTCAACCGGTGGGCGTCATCGTCAAACGCACGCCAACACTGGCCGAGCGGGATGACAGCAGCCTGTCGCAGCAGATGTGTTACATAACACTGGCATAACGCGGCGGGTCGCCTCTTATTCGAGTAAACAATGGCTTACTACAGCCGGAGGCGGCGCTCATATCGGGGATGAGCGAGGTGTGGCCAAAGTCAACACTGAGCACCTGGGGATCTGGCTGGAATTTGCGCAATTCAATTGAAATAAAATCCCGTATTTCATCAAGCAAAATCCATCGAGATGCAAACACTCTCTCTGTGTAAGGCTCGCCTGATTGAAAAGGTTTAAGATCGGCGGCGATTTATAAAATTTCACAGCGGGGGGGTAAAATTCTCCCCACAACAGGATGTCTTCATCAGCACAAGTTGCACCGTTATAAGTTTCAATTAACGAGCTATGATGGGTATGACTATGATGGAACAAAATTGGACGTGTTACCGACTTGCTATTTTCCTCTGCGGGTTTTAAACAACCCTAATTGATGCCACGACAAGAATAATTTACGTCGAGCCTGAAATAGGCCTGAAATGAAGAATTTATAGTTTTCGTTAAAAAAAAAAATCGAATGCGCACTGCCGTCAAAACGGCCACCACTCGAAGTCTCTCGACCTTGCTCCGCAGCAGCACCGGAGCTCGATTTCACTTAATGCCAAAAATGTTACAGGCTAAACTTTCACAAATCAAAGTCATCACCACCACAAGCTGCTACAAAGTGGACATTGCCCAAACGTCACACGGCATCGGTATCAAGTGCAGGCCACTGCGGTTCACGTCTAGGCTCCAATTAACAACAGAAAAGTTAACAGTACTGGAGGAATGTTTATTCTGAGAACAGACTCGCATCTGTTATGGGAATATGGAATTTCCACCACTGGCTCTGGGCTGTAAGCGGGAGAAATAGCACCGCCCTTACTGCGACTGACCAGGAAACCGCCGTGACCCGTTTTGACAGCGAGTGATCTTAGTCGACAGTCATTTACAACGGTCCTATCTACTCACGCCGTCCAGAATGTCAAGTTGCCCTTCCAGAGTGACCAGCTTCTCCCTTTGTAAAACAAAAAAAACGAGGGGAACGCGATAATCGCCGCTTATATTATGCACCAAGCCTGTCGCATGCGTGCTTTCGAGTCTGCACGCAGCTGCCCCACGGTGACATTAAGCATCCCAGCGCGACACGCTGACGTCACAGCCCAAACACGGTCGCGTCACAGTTGTCTCTGGGTTCTTTACTCAACTTTCAGAAATTCGCTCTCCCAACATCTGGATGAAGTCCCTGGCCAAGCCGTCGCCGTCCCCGTCCCTCGCAATGCCTGCGACGCAACAGCCCGGCTCGCTCCTCCACACCGGCTGATTTCATCGCTCCATCTCCACGGTGGTAATTCTGAACTTGTTCCCCGCTTTGGTTGCCACTCTATGGTTCATCTCGACCTCATTGCCATCATGCCTTCAAGCAACAGGTCCTGCCCATGCCCCCCCCCACTTAACTCGATAAAAACGTGCGCTACACGTTCCCTAATACGCGTGGTTACCCGTTACGCTTATCAGCGTAAGCGCCGACATTCATGATAGGTAGCCGAGAATTCAACTTACAGTGAGGGAAAAAATTATTTGATCGCCTGCCGATTTTGTACATTTGCCCACTGACAAAGAAATGATCAGTCGATAATTTTAATGGTAGGTGTATTTGAACAGTGAGAGACAGAATAACAACAAGAAAATCCAGAAAAACGCATGTCAAAAATGTTATAAATTGATTTGTATTTTAATGAGGGAAATAGGTATTTGACCCCCTCTCAATCAGAAAGATGTCTGGCTCCCAGGTGTCTTTTATACAGGTAACGGGCTGAGATTAGGAGCACACTCTTAAAGGGAGTGCTCCTAATCTCAGCTTGTTACCTGTATAAAAGACACCTGTCCACAGAAGCAATCAATCAGATTCCAAACTCTCCACCATGGCCAAGACCAAAGAGCTCTCCAAGGATGTCAGGAACAAGATTGTAGACCTACACAAGGCTGGAATGGGCTACAAGACCATTGCCAAGCAGCTTGGTGAGAAGGTGACAACAGTTGGTGCGATTATTCGCAAATGGAAGAAACACAAAAGAACTGTCAATCTCCCTCAGCCTGGGGCTCCATTCAAGATCTCACCCCGTGGAGTTGCAATGATCATGATAACAGTGAGGAATCAGCGCAGAACTACACAGGAGGATCTTGTCAATGATCTCAAGGCAGCTGGGACCAGTCACCAAGAATTGGTAACACTACGCCGTGAAGGACTGAAATCCTGCAGCGCCCGCAAGGTCCCCATGCTCAAAAAAGCACATATACATGCCCGCCTGAAGTTTGCCAATGAACATCTTAATGATTCAAAGGACAACTGGGTGAAAGTGTTGTGGTCAGATGAGACCAAAATGGAGCGCGTTGGCATCAACTCAACACGCCATGTTTGGAGGAGGATGCTGCCTATGACCCCAAGAACACCATCCCCACCGTCAAATATGGAGGTGGAAACATTATGCTTTGGGGGTGTTTTTCTGCTGAGGGGACAGGACAACTTCACCGCATCAAAGGGACGATGGACGGGGCCATGTACCGTCAAATCTTGGGTGAGAACCTCCTTCCCTCAGCCAGGGCATTGAAAATGGGTCGTGGATGGGTATTCCAGCATGACAAGGGCCCAAAACACACGGCCAAGGCAACAAAGGAGTGGCTCAAGAAGAAGCACATTAAGGTCCTGGAGTGGCCTAGCCAGTCTCCAGACCTTAATCCTATAGAAAATCTGTGGAAGGAGCTGAAGGTTCGAGTTGCCAAACGTCAGCCTCGAAACCTTAATGACTTAGAGAAGATCTGCAAAGAGAAGTGGGACAAAATCCCTCCTGACATGTGTGCAAACCTGGTGGCCAACTACAAGAAACGTCTGACCTCTGTGATTGCCAACCAGGGTTTTGCCACCAAGTACTAAGTCATGTTTTGCAGAGGGGTCAAATACTTATTTCCCTCATTAAAATGCCAATCAATTATATAAAATTTTTGACATGCGTTTTTCTGGATTTTTGTCGTTGTTATTCTGTCTCTCACTGTTCAAATAAACCTACAATTAAAATTATAGACTGATCATTTCTTTGTCAGTGGGCAAACGTACAAAATCAGCAGGGGATCAAATACTTTTTTTCCCCTCACTGTATATCAGAACCTTAAGCTAAGGCAAACAATTAGCATCGCGGCTTTGAGCACCAAGGCAGCACCAACAGCTACATTATTCATCAACACGAAACATCTACGCAGCGTAATCGCCGGCGTCCAAAAGCTGTCACATTCCAGCGAGCGGCACTCGGCTAAAGCACGTGAAAAGCCACGTAAAAAAAAAAGAAACCACTTAAAAACGATATATATTTTAAGTGCACCGCGGTTATTAATTCACAAACGTAATAACAC